TGAGAAATGACACCCTGATATAGTTCTGTGATCTGTGAAACAGTTCTGTTAATCACTGAGGCATTGTGTGTTTGTGTGTTCTTTTTCTTTAGAATTTTCAAATAAACTTGACGTGTTTTATGATTAATAGTGATGTTGTGCTTGTACTATTTTGGACACACTGTCCTCAGGCTCCAGCTTTATGTTGTATGTTGATCGTATTAAAACAAAGAAAACAATCTGAAGTTGTTGTTTTTAAGTGATATATACCATGATTTTTCCGGTCCGGCCCACTTGGGAATAGATTTTCCTCCATGTGGCCCCTGAGCTAAAATGAGTTTGACACCCCTGTTGTAGAGCATGAACCTACAGGATCGGGTCACCGCCTTGATGTTAGCGGAGAACGACAGGGTGTTGTCCAGGGTCACGCCAAGGCTCTTCGCACTCTGGGAGGAGGACACAACGGAGTTGTCAACCGTGATGGCAAGATCATGGAACAGGCAGTCCTTCCCCGGGAGGAAGAGCAGCTCCGTCTTTCCAAGGTTCAGCTTGAGGTGGTGATCCGTCATCCATACTGATATGTCTGCCAGACATGCAGAGATGCGATTCGCCACCTGGTTATCAGAAGGGGGAAAGGAGAAGATTAGTTGTGTATTATGGGGTATTTTGTGTAGGCCAGTGACAAAAATAAATCTAAATTTAGGCTGTAACGCAACAAAATGTTGAAAAGGTAAATGGGTGTGAATACTTTCTGAAGCCACTGTAGCTAGCTACGTGGTCTAACGTAAGCTAGCGAATAGCTTGAAAATACTTCCAGCAGTGTCAACAATCTTCAGTCACGGTTGCGAGGTAAAAATATTGCTTTGGACGAGTCTGTTGATGTACTTTTCCCACACTTTGCTTACTTCCCTTACAAATAAAAATTGTAGTACACTGAAGTATAACTGCAGTTAGAGTGCAGTATAGCTGCAGTTCAACTGCAGTATACTGCAGTTATTCTGCAATTACTGCGCCAAAATACCACAGTCGACTGCAGTTACTGCACTTTTCCTGCAGTTTCAAAACGGCAATATTTTTTTGTAAGGGTTGATATCTAGTGAACTTGTTCAAAACTGCTGCTGTCCTGCTGTGTCAGTTGGTCAACTGTGTTTACACTCGAGCACAGCTTATCCTTGCACCCACCATCACAGCGGGTGAATGAAATGCTCAGCAAAAAAAAAGCAAGCTTTAAAAACAACTATAATTTAAATATTATAATCTAAGACAGGGTTCTTCAATTCCGGTCCTGGAGGGCCGAAACACTTCTGTTTTTTATTTCTACCTGGTAGTTAATTATACTCACCTGGTGTCCCAGGTCTGAATTAGCCCCTGATTAGAAGGAGAGGATGAAAAACAGAGGTGTTTTGGCCCTCCAGGACCGGAATTGAAGAACCCTGATCTAAGATATACTTGTAAAGAATACTGAGTGTACAAAGTGCTAGCCACACAGCTTTGGATTTGTTAGAATGTCTATTTCCCTGCTTTTGAGAGGAGCTGGCTAGTACATACATTACCAATTGACTTTCAGCATTTGCCCTAAGCTAACGATTTACTACCTTCAACTTCCTTCAAACTGCAGAGACATAAAAATGGTTTCCATGAGTTCGTCTAACCCCTAACCCTAACCCCTAGCCTAGCTAACATTATCCACTTAGCTAATGTTAGCATTAGCCACCTACCTAACATTAGCCACAACAAATTGGAATTCGTTACATATCATACATTTAGCAAATTCTGAACATATTGTATGAATTGCAATTCGTAACATATCATACGAAATGGATGATGGACATCCACATATTTAACATTTTAGTCATTTAACAGACGCTCTTATCCAGAGCGACTTACAGTTAGTGAGTGCATACATTTTCATACTGGCCCCCCGTGGGAAACGAACCCACAACCCTGGCGTTGCAAGTGCCTTGCTTTACCAACTGAGGTACAGGGGACATATTAATACATACCATATGAAACGTAACATGTCATACTAATTGGAGTCCCCCGGATTTACATTTACTATGCTACGTCTACCCCTGAGTCCATGTTGACCAAAAGCGTTCTACCTGGAACCAGAAAGGGTTCTTCAAAGGATTCTCCTATGGGACAGCTGAAAAATCCTTTTATGTTCTAGATAGCACCTTTTTTTTTTCTAAGAGTGTAATGTGGGGGGCTAAGTAATCCTGGTAAAATCCAGTGGTATCATCCTCACAATGCTATACAATGACATTGCCTTAAGTCAGATAGCACAATGATTTGTCAGTTGAGGGGGACAAGCATCACATAGAAGTGTAAAACAGTACTGCAATGACTGTTGCAACAGATTCTTGACACTCAAAAGCTCAGTTTTCCCAGAATAGTGTCATCAAAAAGAATTATCCTTGTTTGTAATTAAAATGTTATCACATTTCCAGATCAACAACAACATGAAACATCCTTCCCACATCCGTCTGATTTGCACCATCACTGTGGTTCATACGCATACTGTATACATGCTTTTATTTATGTGCAATAACTCCACACATATGACGTAGACAAAGTTTTTACACTTGTGACGTGTGCTTTGTATGTGCATAGACCCTCTAACTGAGTGGCCTATGTTTAGAGAAACTATTTCCTGTTTACATTTACTAAAAATGGTGTTTCCTGGTCCTGTTGGCTTAATATGGGGTTTTGTAAAAAGGCCTAGTAATGTCACAATTACAGTACACAGGTGCCTTTGGCCTAAATTAACTCTGCTTTACACAAAGCTATACACTTTTACCTCTACTATGATGTATTATACATCATAGTAGAGGTAAAAGTGTATAGCTGTAACTTGATATAGTTCCAAATGTGCATGCCTTAAACTAACAAAAACCTGAGTTGTAGGCCTAATACTTTCACCAAGCTTAGTACAAAAGTGTGCACCAAACCCTTGGTCCATTGTGAGAGTGTGATTTGAAGGAGTCAGGCGCAGGAGGGTAAATCACAGAATACAGAGTTTATTCCGTAGTACACAGTTACGCTGGATAGCGTCAACAGTCCAGTGCGCAAAACAGGCGCACTGGAACAAATACAGGCACACGAGGAAAATATACCCTGGGAATACAAAGTACAGGTAGCTCCACCGAGCTACACTCATCTCACATGAAACAATCACCCACAAGGACAAGGGGCAGAGGGAACACATATACATGTACTAATGAGGGGAATATGAACCAGGTGTGTGTAATTGACAAGACAAGACAAATGGAATGATGAGACATGGAGTGGCAGTAGCTAGAAGGCCGGTGACGATGAACGCCGAAGCCTGCCCGAACAAGGAGGGGAGACAGCTTCGGAGGAAGTCGTGACATCCATGTAGCGTTATGTGCCTCCAACAGGAGGTCAAAACTGTTTCATTGCATTGGCATTGCGGTCATGGCATTACATTAATTACAGATAATTATTTAGTTGACATGACTTGGTCATAATTGTATCCTTATTCATCAAGTAGTACGAGCACAACCGTATCGTGACACAATCAGTGACAAACGTGTGTGTGTCTATGTGTGTACTGTAAGTGTGTGTGTGTGTGTGTGTGTGTACTGTAAGTGTGTGTGTGTTTACTGTAAATGAATGTGTGTGTGTTTCCTCATCAAACCTTGTTGACGCCATACTAATCTAACACAGATGGAGTTGATAACGACATGTTGAATTAACTTCCCCACCCCCTAATTTAGTCCAGCAAAATAGTTTCCTCTCCCAGTGGAATAAAGGTTAAACAACTTCAGCAACATTCTCTGTAAGAGCACACAAGGACAATGTTTTGAAGTCTTTGTAGCAGCCCCTGATGTGGAGTTGCAATGAAGAAGCTATATAATTAGAATTTCTGTTGTTCAATTTCTATTGAATGAGTTGCTATTCAGGGCCCAGTTTTTCAAATGTTATCTATCAGGATATCGGATAGGGTTAAATGCATGGAAATAGAATGAATAGAACAGGGGTCCCCATTCAAGTGTCACGACTTCCGCCGAGGCTGCCTCCCCTCCTTGTTCGGGCAGGCTTCGGCGTTCCATCATTCCATTTGTCTTGTCTTGTTAATTACACACATCTGGTTCTTATCCCCTCATTAGTCTGTGTATAAGTGTTCCCTTTGCCCCCTTGTCTTTGTGGGTGATTGTTATATGTGAGAGTAGTGTAGCTCGGTGGAGCTACTCACACTTTGTATTGCCGGGGTAGATAGTTTCCCCTGTGCCTGTTTTCGTGTGTCGTTATCCAGCGCAATTGTTGTACGACGGAATGAACTCTGTATTCGGTGAATTACCCTCCTGCGCCTGACTCCTTCTATCACCCTCATCAAATCAAGTCAATGAGTTGTCCGTTCTATTCATTCTATTTATATGTATTTAATCCTCTTGGATAGGCAAAATCCTGATAGATAACTTTTGAAAAACTGGGCCCTGGTGACTGAGTGACTGACAGACTTCCTGAGGATGGGATAGGTCAAGACAGGGGATTGTGGGATGTCAGAGAACCACAATGGTGTCACAGTGGGTCAGCCCTGGTGCCAGATTCACCACTAACTGGATTTTCATTGGAACTGATCCCACCCTGTCACCCACAGCCTTGACTCTGGCCTGGCCAGGAGCCATAGGGAGGCCAATGCCAACCAGCTACACACACACACAGACAGACAGATAGACCAAGGCCTCTGCAAATAGTCAAATCATGTATAGTAACAATAGAACAATCTACGTTTTTCAACAGAAGTGATTCAACATATCGAGTGGCAATAACTCACGTTGTGGATATCAATTACCTCATTGACGCTGACCTCATACTCTGACTATAATACACTATCCGTTATCAGTTGCTTACATGATACCCGCCCAAACCGCATCATCATCCGGCAAGCCTGCCTCTCTGGGGTCGATCATTTCCAAACAACCCTCCCTCTTCCGCAAAAAAAGAAGAGGCTCGGATAAAAACCGAGAGAAGCAGAGCAGCGATCACACTTCATCGTCAACCCGCTCTGGAACACCGAGCCCAATTGAGGACTAGGAACATACCATACATACACAAGGTAAGAATATGGATGTCAATACATGTAACCACATTGCCCTATGTTTTCCAGATTTCAGTTGGTATTTAGGCTATGCTATAAGTGATTGCATTAGGCTACAACATTTTGCTGATTGTTTTCTGTAAAGCAAAAACATACTTCCTTCACCATGGAGTGGAGTTTAGTCCGCTAAATAACATTTGATTTAAAGGATTTCAGTTACTCTACTCAAGTGGAAGATCAAATAAAATTTCAGTAAACATTGAACGTTTTTTTTGTATTGAATTTTCCCATGCTTTGCCTTTGTGCATAGTTTAAATCTGAATGCATAATTATAATTAGCTCATTATAGCCGTTTCTCATAGGTTGTAGTTTTGGATGCTTGGAGGTGTTTTTATCTTATCTATAGATGAGATTACATAGTTTAGTTTATACTTTAGTGTTTCCCTTAATTTATTTACTAGGAATATGGACCAATTCAATTACTAGATTTGGTTTAAACCTACTGTATGACCTATGGAGAGCTGGGTTCATTTTTTCTGTGTATTTTAGTATTTTAAAACACACAGCCCAAAACAAATACTTTTATTTGAGTATTTGAATGGTTATTTGTAAAAAAAGTATTTTCAAATAATATTTTCAAATACCTGGGTTAAATGCATGGGAATGTATTTTAGTCAGTGTATTTGAGTATTTTCCAATACTTTCCAGGTGTAATTTTCAAATACATTCCAATATTAAAATGCTTGTCTTTTCAAATAAAAAATATATGAATACTTACTTCGAAATGTATGTAAAAGTAATTGAGATATTTGAACCCAGGTCTGGTCCTATGGGGTTTTGGATCAGTTAACGGTGTAAATGGCAAGCGGATATTTACACTCTTGGTTCCTATTGTGTAGGCTAGTTATGCTCCATTACCTGCCCAGTAGTAGCTCTCATGTATTTCAGGTCTATGCCATTCTTGTCACCTGATGGTGGATGTCTCCGCACCTTGGCACATGTAGGCTATGTAGGGAGTGACAGAGTGAGTGAGTCAGTCAAAAGGAATTCACCTATTAGTGCTTTCTCACTGCTCAAGTCAACTACTGCTGACCATTCCCTGCCACATCTCTCTCTCCCACATTCCTCTCCCCTTCTATCCCAAATCTTTCACACCCACACTCATCTCTCTTTCTCCATCCCCCACCTCTCTCTCCATCCCCCCACCTCTCTCTCCATCCTCCCACCTCTCTCTCCATCCTCCCACCTCTCTCTCCATCCTCCCACCTCTCTCTCCATCCTCCCACCTCTCTCTCCATCCTCCCACCTCTCTCTCCATCCCTCCACCTCTCTCTCCATCCCTCCACCTCTCTCTCCATCCCTCCACCTCTCTCTCCATCCCTCCACCTCTCTCTCTATATATCCCTCTTTCCACCTAATACTCCCCTCACATTCTGTTTCATACCGTCATCTCTCCCACCTCTCTCTCCAGTATTAAATCTCACTATCCTTCTCTCTCTCATTTCATCATCCATCAATTCTCTCAGTAATCAACAGCTCCAGAATGAGATCATTCTAAAACGTATTGTTGCAATAGTTGTAACAAGTGAAGCAGTTGTGAATCAGTGTTATTTCAGATAACAAATGACAGAGATTACACTGAGAAAATGTTTCTTGGAATGTGGTTTCCTAGAGGTATTTATGTGTGTGTGTGTTGGTTCCACCCTGTGCCTGACTAGCCCTGTATAGAATTGTAGGCTTTAAGCAACTCGCTTAACTTGGGAATTCCTCTGGACAGCATCTCTCAGTACTACAGCACACTCTTAGTGTCCTCGGATACACTGTGAATGAACGAGACAATCATGAAGTGGCTCACATGCACCACCATCAGGACAGGGTCCCTTCCAGGAACCGGCTGACGATTAAGGGGCTGCATAGTAGTCCAAACTCGGCTATGTTGCTTAGTAACAAGTTGATCCCAGATCATTGCTTACGGATCAGTGCATTTAGTGCATTCCTTGCTGTGAGTGAGTATTGTAGTGTGTTGTGTCACCAGGCATTGTGTGGCGGCTGGGCTGGCTGGTGGCTCAGGCCAGGGGGCCTCTCAGTGCTTTGGCTGACCTGTCTGATTCACAAGTCATGAGTGACTGGCCTTCTGTGGTCACCGGTCAGCCAGTCTGTCTGGTCATAGACTGCTAAGTTTAGTGGGTTACATTTGTTAGACAGTGGGTGCTCTATTCGATATGTCTAATTTTAAAATGTGATCTGATTGCTCTTTATGTATTATCTCTCTGTCTATCCATCCATTTGTCCATCCCTCCCTCCCTATTTCCTCAACCCTTTCTCTCTGCAGCCTAAGGTTGATGACTCAACTATTCTCTCCATAAAGCTACCTGCGGTCGACTCACTCACTACCCTGCGGACTTCAGGGGTTTGCTTTTTCCTCTTTCTATTCTGTTACTTTGTCACTTTTCCCTCATTTTCTCCACCCCTTTTTCTCTTATGTCGCTCCTTTCTCTTTCTCCTCAATCTCTTTTTCTTCTCATCTATGTTCTCTCCCTCTTCTCTCTCTCTCTCTCTAAATCGTAATGTTTTTCTGCGGCTACATTCAGTCTCTCTGATGAACAGAGCAGGTGTTATACCATGGCTGCATCCCAAATTGTACCCTATTTCCTATTTAGTGCACTACTTTTGACCAGAGTGCACTAAATAGGGAATAGGGTGCCATTTGGCACACAGACCATTTGTAGAGTGGGCATGAAAGACCACAATGCCCCCTCTGTACCAGACCCCCACACCAGACCCCCTTTAGAGGGGTTTAGATAAGACCCCGGTATAGCAGGCATAGCTCCAGCCAAGTAGCTTACCATACCTAAGTAACACAGTGTCATGACAGTGTTAGGTCAGTTGTCATAGGCAGACATCAGCTTTCATGACATGTGTTATATCATTATTACGACACAGTTAGTAACTTAGTATAGTCCTTATGATAGTGTGGGCATAACATATCCAGTGTCTCTTCCCCAAAAAGTAATGAGGAGACATGGAAAATAAGGCTATTTTAGAGTATTGGAACCAAACCTAGGAAGAGAATGAAAGGAAGATAATTAGCTAGAACAAAACCATAGGTGTGTAGCATGCTAGGTAACACTGGTTCAATGTGATGCTAATCAGATCACTCCTATGGCTGCCTGGTTTCCCTCAGTGAAGAGTAAACTCTGTTATAACTGTGTTAAGTGCATGCCATCATGGCAAATATGCATGCACAGTCGCATACACACACAGCTCCCTCTGTCTACAGCTGTTTTCTTCTTTTTAAATCAATTCATTAAGCTTTATTGGTATAGAAAGTGAGGGAACTTACATTGCCAAATAATATTTTACCAACAGCAACATCAGTACTAATGTTTAACTGCACACTTTAAAGTTGTTTCCATATGTTAGTTCTTATCCTTGCTCTAGCAGCTGTATTTCAAAACATCCTTATTCAGTTTGATGATCATCTTGATTTTTGACTAGAGTACTGCGTACTGCTGTGCTGAGTTAAGTATAACACTAACCTCTGACTCTAACACCTACGCCTTACTTTCCTATATCCCTTGAGAGGTGAAATGGCTGCTGTCTGATTCTCTACCTGCTGAAGCATTCCTGTGGTCACTGGTTAGCACGTCACACATCCTTACTGTACAGGTCAGCTAGCTAGACTCGTCACTCAGACTGACAGGGGGAGTAGGAGCTGTGCTCAGCACTTCGAGACAATTATGTTAGCGTAATCAGAATCAGAATCACCATTATTCGCCAAGTCTGCTGCATGACTGAACACTGATAGGAAATGAAGCTAGGGAGTTACCTGCCTCATTCACAGTACTGATGTGGTTGTTGTGTGGGAGTTTGATTAGTTTGTGTGTCTGAATATTAGCCTAGTGTTCTGGTATGAGGCTGATGCTGTTGATAGTCTATAACTGACTAAACTCCAACAGCAGGTTTCAACAGCCTCTCATTCACATCAACACTCAGACTTGATCTACTAAGAGAGCAGAGTTTCCTCTGGCCCTCATGGGTTTGAAGGGAATACAGTGCTATGAAAAAGTATTTGCCCTCTTTCTAATTTTCTCTACTTTTGCATATTTGTGATACTGAATGTTATCAGATCTTCAACCAAAACCTAATATTAGATAAAGGGAACATAAGTGAACAAATAACACAACAATTACATATTTCTTTCTTTATTTCATAAATAAAGTTATGCAACACCCAATTCCCCTGTGTGAAAAAGTAATTGCCCCCTTCCACTCAATAACTGGTTGTGCCATCTTTAGCTGCAATGACTCCAACCAAATGCTTCCTGTAGTTCTTGATCAGTCTCTCACGTCGCTGTGGAGGAATTTTGGCCCACTCTTCCATGCAGAACTGCTTTAACTCAGTGACGTGTGGGTTTTCAAGCATTAACTGCTCGTTTCAAGTCCTGCCACAACAACTCAATTGGGATTAGGTCTGGACTTTGACTAGGCCATTCCAAAACGTCCAATTAGTTGCTTTTTAGCAATTTCCATGTAGACTTGATTGTGTGTTTTGGATCATTGTCTTTCTGCATGACCCAGCTGCGTTTCAGCTTCAGCTCACAGACGGATGGTCTGACATTCTCCTGTAGAATTCTCTGATACAGAGCAGAATTCATGGTTCCTTCTATTAAGGCAAGTCGTCCAGGTCCTGAGGCAGAAAAGCATCCCCAAACCATCACACCACCACCACCATGCTTGACCTTTGGTAAGATGTTCTTACTGTGGAATGCAGTGTTTGGTTTTCACCAGGCATAATGGGACCCATCTCGTCCAAAAGGTTGACTCAAGTTTGCCAAAAAGCACCTGGATGATCGTCAAGACTCTTGGAAGAACGTTCTATGGACAGATGATTCAAAAGTATACGTTTTTGGACGACATGGTTCCAGTAATGCCTGGCGAAAACCAAACTCTGCATTCCACAGTAAGAACATCATACCAAAGGTCAAGCGTGGTGGTGTTGTGATGGTTTGGGGATGCTTTGCTGCCTCAGGACCTGGACGACTTGCCTTAATAGAAGGAACCATGAATTCTGCTCTGTATCAGAGAATTCTACAGGAGAATGTCAGACCATCCGTCTGTGAGCTGAATCTGAAGCGCAGCTGGGTCATGCAGCAAGACAATGATCCAAAACACACAATCAAGTCTACATGAAAATAGCTAAAAAACAACAAATTGGAAGTTTTGGAATGGCCTAGTCAAAGTCCAGACCTAATCCCAATTGAGTTGTTGTGGCAGGACTTGAAACGAGCAGTTCATGCTTGAAAACCCACACGTCACTGAGTTAAAGCAGTTCTGCATGGAAGAGTTGGCCAAAATTCCTCCACAGCGACGTGAGAGACTGATCAAGAACTACAGGAAGTATTTGGTTGGAGTCATTGCAGCTAAAGGTGGCACAACCAGTTATTGAGTGTTGGGGCAGTTACTTTTTCACACAGGGGAATTGGGTGTTGCATAACTTTGTTTATGAAATAAATGAAATAAATATGTAATTGTTGTGTTATTTCTTCACTTATGTTCCCTTTATCTAATATTAGGTTTTGGTTGAAGATCTGATAACATTCAGTATCACAAATATGCAAAAGTAGAGAAAATTAGACAGGGGGCAAATACTTTTTCATAGCACTGTATATGGTCATTCAATTTTCAAAAGAAACCACTAACTAACTGGGTGGGACAGACAATTTCCTCCTAATCCGTGCTAGGGAATGAGTTAAACTCTCAACGACTAAAAACGAGAGGAAAAAAATGCTGATTTTTTCCTTTTAATCTTGTAAATTGCTACCAACAAAATAGGGATCTGTGTGTGTGTGTGTGTGTGTGTGTGTGTGTGTGTGTTAGCATGTGTGTGTGTTGGATCTTGTAAGAACTGGTTTAGTAGGATCGTTGCCAGGCCACAAACCAGTCCTACACAGACACACTGCATTGTGGGATTATCAGACAGCATTTGATAATCATGTGGTGTCTGAGGCAGCCTCGCTTTGTGACGGGCACCCACGTGTGTGTGTAAAAGATGGGCACTAAGCATGTGTGTGGGTCTGGACATGGGGACTACACTCTTAGAAAAAAATTGTGCTATCTACATTTTAGTCATTTAGCAGACGCTCTTATCCAGAGCAACTTACAGTTAGTGAGTGCATACATTATTTTTCATACTGGCCCCCCGTGGGAATCGAACCCACAACCCTGGCATTGCAAACACCATGCTCTACCAACTGAGCTACCTCCCTGCCAGCCAGCCAGCCAGCCAGCCATTCCCTCCCCTACCCTGGACCAATTGTGCACCACCCCATGGGTCTCCCGGTCGCGGCCGGCTACAACAGAGCCTGGATTTGAACCAGGAGTTCTAGTGGCACAGCTAGCACTGCGATGCAGTGCCTTAGACCACTGCGCCACTCGGGAGTTATCTAGTTATCTAGAACCTAAAATGGTTCTTTCGGCTGTCCCAATAAGAGAACCCTTTGAATAACTATTTTTGGCTACAGGTAGAACCCTTTTGGTTCCATGTAAAACCCTTTCCACTGAGGGTTCTACATTGAACCCAAAAGTTCTACCTGGAACCCAAAATATGGTTATACCTGGAAACGAAAAGGGTTCTCCTATGGGGACAGCCGAATAACCCTTTTGGAACTATTTGTGTGACAGATAAACCACGAAAGTGAGACACACAGGCTCAATGTTAGCAGGAAACATATGGCCTGGTCTGATAGACTAGAGGGAGGGACGGTAGGAAACAGAGAACAGAACACAGCGGAACGTCTGCACAAAGGAAAGTGAGAGGAAACCCAGCTAGAGAAACTTATGCTCTGCAAGAGAGGCTCAGCTAGGGTATAGAAAACACAGCCTGCATACACCTGGGGGTTTCCTCCAGCTGAGAAACACCTGGCTTGAAAGGGATATGTAACCTTCTCTGTTTGTGTACAGTATGTGTGTGTTGCGTGTGTGAGTTCCACAAGTACAGTCCTGCAGAGTCATTCCAGTGAAAGACTCAGGGAGTCTTTCTTCCAGGAACATCTTGTCTTTGTGTCTTGTGAGTTGATTAGCTTCAGGTTCCTGAGCAGTGTGTGTGTTTGCCAGCGTAGCAGTTTGACCTCACTTCTATCAAAACAACAGGGCTATTAGCCCAGTCAGACATACAGGAAGAGTCAGACAACCGCCAGCTGGCTGCGGTGTGTGTGTGGGGGCCAGTATGAAAAATGTATGCACTCACTAATTGTAAGTCGCTCTGGATAAGAGCGTCTGCTAAATAACTAAAATGTCAACAACAAAAAATGTGTGTGTGCGTCTGAAGGTCAGGTTTATATGTTGGTCTTGGTCCCATGCAATGACCACAGTGCTGGAGTCTTCTTCAGTTTATTTTCACTCTTTCCATCTTTCTTGAAATTCCTAGGTTTTTCTCTTTTGTCTTGCTCCTCTGTCTTCCCACGTCTCTCTAAGGTTGAGTCATGATTAGTCACAGTTGACAGAGAGGCAATGGGGCCTAACAGGGTTTTGCAGTGCATCTCCAGTCTGACATATATGTTTACAGAGAGAAGTAGATTCATTCACATTTCATTCCAATGTTTATTTTATTGCAATAACTGTGATATGTGGTTGTCTTACCTTCCCTAGTTGAATGTACTTACTGTATTGCGCTCTGGATAAGAGAATCTTCGAAATTACCTAAATGTAAAATTCCATTAAATAATAATATGACATTTAGCAGACGCTTTTATCCAAAGCGACTTACAGTCATGCGTGCATACATTTTTATTGTGTATGGGTGGTCCCGGGGATCGAACCCACTACCTTGGCGTAACAAGCGCCGTGCTCTACCAGCTGAGCTACAGAGGACCATTAGCAGACACTCTTATCCAGAGCAACCTACAGTATTGCCAAATAGCACAATCATCTCACCTCCACCATCACAACACATTTAAAAATACAAAAGTTATAAATGTCAGATTAAACTAAGCGTGTTGTGTGGTTACAAAACGTAAAAAGCTCTGCACTCTAGTCTTTGTAGTTGCTAGTGCAAACAGCCTTTTTGGAAAGCCAACTTAGTGGAGTCAAACTTTGTAAAGTTGCCGTTCATTTCCCCCCTCTTCTCCTCTCATCTCTCTGTATTGTCGTGAGTCATTCTACCCGCCCTACATCTGCTCGACTCTTTAGGAACCGCTTCCATACTGCCTTTGCTTGGAATGTTGCGAGAGTGCTTTAGCAATATTTTGTGAGCTCACACACTCATATACACGCATACACAGCTCTTCAGACTTCCCCTTGCGTGTCCAGCTGTGTTTGTTGTTTGACACTGTTCTTTGTTCCTTAGGACTAAGGGCTATGGTCTCTGTTAGACACTCATTCACTGGAGGGAGAGAGAAAGAGTGAAGATGGTCTCTATCCTGTTTAACCCAGAGGGAGCACAATTTTATAAACACAGCGGACAATGGTTATGAGTAGGGAGGTGAGACAGGGACAGAGGCAGGGACAGAGGACAGGGGGAAGGGTACAGGAGGTAGTGGCAGAGGGACAAAGGAAACAGGTTATGGATCACACTACAGGATACATTTTCTGTCATCATTTACTTATGTTTGTTTTATGTTTTATGTTTGTTTCAATTTATTTTCCAGCAGAAAAGATCCAGACACGACCATGGCCAGAGTATTGGGACTTCTGCTCTTCCTGTCAGCTCTCTGCTGCTCCCTAGCGGACAAAGTAGGTGCCACACCCACTGCACTGACCACAGCTATTTTATTTTTATTTTATTTCACCTTTATTTAACCAGGTAAACCAGTTGAGAACAAGTTCTCATTTACAACTGCGACCTGGCCAAGATAAAGCAAAGCAGTGCGATAAAAAACAACAACACAGAGTTACATATGGGGTAAAACAAAACAAAGTCAAAAATACAGAAACAGAAATACATATATATATACAGTGTGTGCAAATTTAGCAAGTTATGGAGGTAAGGCAATAAAATAGGCTATAGTGCAAAATAATTACAATTTAGTATTAACACTGGAATGATGTGCAAGAGATGATGTGCAAATAGAGATACTGGGGTACAAATGAGCAAATAAATAACAATATAGGGATGAGGTAGTTGGGCGGGCTAATTTCAGATGGGCTGTGTACAGGTGCAGTGATCGGTAAGGTGCTCTGACAACTGATGCTTAAAGTTAGTGAGGGAGATAAGTGTCTCCAGCTTCAGAGATTTTTGCAATTTGTTCCAGTCATTGGCAGCAGTGAACTGGAAGGAATTGCGGCCAAAGGAGGTGTTGGCTTTGGGGATGACCAGTGAGATATACCCGCTGGAGCGCAGACTACGGGTGGGTGTTGCTATGGTGACCAATGAGCTAAGATAAGGCGGGGATTTGCCTAGCAGTGATTTATAGATGGCCTGGAGCCAGTGGGTTTGGCGACAAATATGTAGTGAGGACCAGCCACCAAGAGCGTACAGGTCACAGTGGTGGGTATTATATGGGGCTTTGGAGACAAAACGGATGGCACTGTGATAGACAACATCCAATTTGCTGAGTAGAGTGTTGGAGGCTATTTTGTAAATGACATCGCCGAAGTCAAGGATCGGTAGGATAGTCAGTTTTACGAGGGCATGTTTGGCAGCATGAGTGAAGGAGGCTTTGTTGCGAAATAGGAAACCGATTCTAGATTTAACTTTGGATTGGAGATTCTTAATGTGAGTCTGGAAGGAGAGTTTACAGTCTAACCAGACACCTAGGTATTTGTAGTTGTCCACATACTCTAGGTCAGACCCGTCGAGAGTAGTGATTCTAGTCGGGTGGGCGGGTGCCAGCAGCGTTCGATTGAAGAGCATGCATTTAGTTTTACTAGTGTTTAAGAGCAGTTGGAGGCTACTGAAGGAGTGTTGTATGGCATTGAAGCTCGTTTGGAGGTTTGTTAACACAGTGTCCAATGAAGGGCCAGATGTATACAAAATGGTGTCGTCTGCGTAGAGGTGGATCTGAGAGTCACCAGCAGCAAGAGCGACGTCATTGATATACACAGAGAAAAGAGTTGGCCCAAGAATTGAACCCTGTGGCACCCCCATAGAGACTGCCATAGGTCCAGACAACAGGCCCTCCGATTTGACACATTGAACTCTATCTGAGAAGTAGTTGGTGAACCAGGCGAGGCAGTCATTTGAGAAACCAAGGCTATTTAGTCTGCCAATAAGAATGCGGTGGTTGACAGAGTCGAAAGCCTTGGCCAGGTCAATGAAAACGGCTGCACAGTACTGTCTATTATCGATCGCGGTTATAATATCGTTTAGGACCTTGAGCGTGGCTGAAGTGCACCCATGACCAGCTCGGAAACCGGATTGCATAGCGGAGAAGGTACGGTGGGATTCGAAATGGTCGGTGATCTGTTTGTTGACTTGGCTTTCAAAAACTTTTGAAAGGCAGGGCAGGATGGATATGGGTCTGTAACAGTTTGGATCTAGAGTGTCACCCCCTTTGAAGAGGGGGATGACCGCGGCAGCTTTCCAATCTCTGGGGATCTCAGACGTTACGAAAGAGAGGTTGAACAGGCTAGTAATAGGGGTTGCGACAATTTCGGCGGCTAGTTTTAGAAAGAAAGGGTCCAGATTGTCTAGCCCAGATGATTTGTAGGGGTCCAGATTTTGCAGCTCTTTTAGAACATCAGCTGTCTGGATTTGTGTGAAGGAGAAGCGAGGTTGGCATGGGTAAGTTGCAGCGGAGGGTGCAGAGCTGGTGGCCGGGGTAGTGGTAGCCAGGTGGAAAGCATGGCCAGCCGTAGCAAAATGCTTGTTGAAATTCTCGATTATTGTAGATTTATCGGTGGTGATAGTGTTTCCTAGCCTCAGTGCAGTGGGCAGCTGGGAGGAAGTGCTCTTATTTTCCATGGACTTTACAGTGTCCCAAAACTTTTTGGAGTGCTACAGGATGCAAATTTCTGTTTGAAAAAGTTAGCCTTTGCTTTCCTAACTGCTTGTGTATATCGGTTCCTAACTTCCCTGAAAAGTTGCATATCGCGGGGGCTATTTGAAGCTAATGCAGTACGCCACAGGATGTTTTTGTGCTGGTCAAGGGCAGTCAAGTCTGAGGAGAACCAGGGGCTATATCTGTTCTTAGTTCTGTATTTCTTGAATGGGGCATGTCTATTTAAGATTGAGAGGAAATTACTTTTAAAGAACAACCAGGCATCCTCTACTGACGGAATGAGATCTATATCCATCCAGGATACCTGGGCCAGGTCAATTAGGAAGGCCTGCTCGCTGAAGTGTTTTTGGGAGCGTTTGACAGTGATGAGGGGTGGTCGTTTGACCGCGGACCCGTTACGGACGCAGGCAATAAGGCAGTGATCGCTGAGATCCTGGTTGAAGACAGCGGAGGTGTATTTAGAGGGTAAGTTAGTCAGGATGATATCTATGAGGGTACCCATGTTTACGGATTTAGGGTTGTACCTGGTAGGTTCGTTGATAATTTGTGTTAGATTGAGGGCATCTAGTTTAGATTGTAGGATGGCCGGGGTGTTAAGCATATCCCAATTTAGGTCACCAAGCAGTACGAACTCTGATAGAAGTTGCAGATAGAAGTTGCCCTGTGGTGCAGATCTAGGATCAGCTTAACCTTGCAAAATGCATGAGGTGGAAATTGCTAAACTGACCTTAGATCCGAGTCTAGCGTTAACTTCATCACTACTATTGCCATGCAGACAGTGTGTTTTGTTGGTACTGTGGAGCTTTGAGCTCACTTCTCTTACCTCTCCCGTGGCAGATTGAGCTTCGTCGCACGAAGAGAGGCACACGCTACTATAAAGGTGAGCTTGGATCGCCCGCTCTGCCCTCTACAACTGGATCCCTCTACCCTCACCCTCTGACTCCCCACGTCTGTCCCTCTCTCCACACTAGTCATGTGTTAGCTACAATCAATCATTTGTTTGTGTGTCACTTACACCTTGTCTTTGAATGTTACTGTCTCTCCTCTTGTAGTAAATGACTCATGTGTCTGTGTCTCTCTGTCTGTGTCTCTATGTCTGTGTGTCTTTGTCTCTGTCCCTGTGCGTGTGTGTGTCTGTCTCTGTGTGTGTCTGTGTCTGTGTATGTGTGTGTGTCTCAGCGCGTTGTGTGGATGGCCAGTCAGCTGCGGTGCGTGGTTATGGGGATACATGGATGAGATGGAGGGGACAGCGTGCGGAGTACTGCCGCTGTGCATCACAAGGACAAGAGCGCTGTCACTATGTGCCCGTCATCAGTGAGTGGAAAGACACACACACTTACACATAGATATAGATACAGACCAACACACACACGCTCACAAACCCCCACACAGTCTAGGCCGGCAGAGTTACTACACTGTTCAGCCTTTCATTTCTGCCTGTGTATGTATCTTGTTCTCTTTTCCAGTCTTTATTTTCCACTGTTTGTCTTTGTTGGATCAACAGAACCCCCATCCCCCTCCCTCTGTCTGCCTGCCCCCATCTCTCCACTCTCTATTTACAGTACCTCTCTCTTCTGTTCCCTTACTTCCTCCACAATGGAGAGTGGTTGGTGTCATGGAGAGAGAGGGTGTAGTCTAGGATGGAGAGTCATTAGAACACCCACCCATTGTGACTTTCACTATGTATAAACGCTGTTGGCACAAACCCTCCCATAAGCACGTCCCTTCACCCCCACTGAACAACGCTATGAGGCATGACCACCCCTCTGATGACAGACTAATCACTACCACATTCTCAGCCTGTGTGAGGTTGTACGCTGTCAACAAAGAAATTGGATGTTGAAGCTTTTCTGACAAATGGAAATGATGAGAATTTGTGATGTAAAAGAGGCTATGATATTTGTTATTAGAGGTGGGCACTTCGTCTGCGCTGTAGCAAATATTGTTGTTAGAGAAAGAAAATAAATAAATCCAATATGTCTAACCATCACTCTCTACATCCCTATCTCCCTCCCTCCGTCCCTGTAGCCTGCTATCAGTCAAGGTGCTACAACGGGGGAACCTGTAAGGAGGCGGTCTACTCCTCTGACTATCTGTGCCAGTGTCCACCAGGCTTCACAGGAGCCCAGTGTGAGATCAGTAAGTAGAACACATTCAGAGATCACACTACACTACACTGTCAATAAATACTACTGGGCCTATATACTACTGAAAAACAAGGACAAGGGGATATGACAAGTTTCCATTCTATCCCCCAGTCTTTATATAGATTAATTTAGCACAATATGCTCCTCACACTCTTCAACTTATCCCTTGACTTAGAACTCTCCTAGTCACAGGCTGAGCTACATTTAGTATCTGCAAGTTCCTAAGTGGAATAACACAACCTTAACCCCGGGCTAATTTGGCTGTGCCCTTCTGCGCTGCTATTGAGTCTTATCTAGTACTATCTAGTAGTAATCTTGGTTACCATCATCATTAGGCCAGCAGACACAGAAGGGTAGAATGCAATCCTGCTACAATGACTCATAGAGGTTATGGAGTTGTGGTCTGTGGGCCAGCCGGGGAAAAAATCGGAAACTCCATGGAACTCAGTGGTTTGCTGACATAAATCAGTTAGTTTTATTATATTTGGAGGCCGTTGTAGACACCCTACCCACTCAACATTCAACATGTAAATTCGAAATCACATGTTGACGGTCTAATGAGTGAGTTCACAGCCAAATGAGTGAGCCCAGAGTCATATTATGTGATGTCATCTATCAGCATCATCATTCACCAATGGTCATTTGTTGAAACCACAGCGGCCTAACTCTCTCCACATGTGACTCTGAGTGAGCCTAACCAGAGCCGTATACTCTCTAAATGAGTTTAATCAATACTCATGCGTGTGTCATTTCATAGATACCATAAGATCAGGGAGCCAAAACACAGAAGAGATGTGTGAGTGAGTCCATAGTAATGTAACCAGGATGCATGACGATAGGAGGATGCCATAAAGGAAAGCTAGACAGACACACAGAGAGGCTATCAGATCAACATGGTTATGATGTGGTTCCTCATGGATACCAATGACGGTGTCCAAAATGGCACCCTATTCCCAACATAGTGCTCTACTTTGTACCAGAATCCTATGTGCCCTGGTCAAAAGTAGTGCACTATAAAGGAAATGGGGTACCATTTGGGACATAGCCTACGTGTTTGGATGGCTGGATTGTATAGACTCATTTCTCTCCCTCTCCACAGACACCAATGAGAAGTGTGTGGTGGGCCAGGGTAAAGGCTATCGTGGTACGTGGAGTACCAGTCGGATCGGCTCAGAATGTATCAACTGGAACTCTACAAACCTCAGAGGGAAGAAGTTCACCGCCAAGAGACCAGAGGCTAACAGCCTAGGGCTGGGCAACCACAACTTCTGCAGGTACACACACACACACAAACACACACACACACACACACAAACACACACACACACATACACACAACAATCAAGCCCTCTAGATCAATTTTCCCCTCCCCTGTTCTCTCTCTCTCTCTCAGGAATCCAGACAATGATACTAAGCCATGGTGTTATGTCTACAAGGGAACCCAGATAGCCTGGGAGTTCTGTACTCTCTCCAGCTGCCCAGCAGGTAATAACATGATCAACTATGATAGCATTATAGTATACCGGTATTTGGTTATATTGTTGCCATGGCAAACTATAACAAGTTGGCAAAATCAGAAACAGATTGGCACCAAGGTTGCTTTACTGACAATGTGGTCACAGAGTAAATTAAATCTGAGTTCACCTGCACCTCACCCGGTGTGTTTTTCCAGACCAGAGCCCAGTGGAGTGTGTGCAGGGCTCAGGGCAGACGTACAGGGGGACGGCGGCCGTCACTAAGAGGGGCTCCAGCTGTCTTCCCTGGGACTCACCACTCATCACCCGCAAGTTCTACAACGCATGGAGGTCTGACACCAGACAGCTGGGGCTGGGGAGTCACAACTTCTGCAGGTAAGATCATAAATGTACACAAACTCTCTTTCTCACACACATATACACCACAGGAGGTTGGTGGCACCTTAATTGGGGAGGATGGGCTCGTGGTAATGGCTGGAGCGGAATTAGTGGAATGGTCTCAAATACATCAAACACATGGTTACCATTAGCACCGTATTATGAGCCGTCCTCCCCTCAGCAGCATATATACACACACACACAGCCACACTTATACACTCTGTCTCTCTTACAGGAACCCAGACGGTGATCTCGGCCCCTGGTGTCACGTCTACAGGAACATGAAGCTGACCTGGGAACTCTGCGACATCACCAAATGCCGTGAGTATCCCTGTTACCATGACTACTGTCCAGGAATATCGGCCACAGTACGCATCATCGTCCTCTCATGTGCCGGTCCAATGGCCACTGTCTTTTCTGCCAAGTATTGTCATCATCATCATTACCTACAGTAGCTTACTGTAATGCATGTGATGACTAAGAAGACAATGAGTAAAATGTCTGTCAGGATTGTAGTGAAATGTGTAGGAGGCTAAATTGAGTACATTTGCAACTGTAGTCACACTGTATGAGTACTTGAGTAACTGTTGTTTGTTCTTTAGCGAGGAGACCAACCACCATTACTACTCTAGGCCCCAAGGCTCCCACCAGCAACAACAACAACAGAGGTACGACAGCCACAAAATAACACATCCAATTCACCTCTACACTCGTCTCACAGCGTTTCTCCTCCTCCTCCACACCTCCCACTCTCCTTCTATTCCTCCTCCACACCTCCGCCCCTCTTTTTCTCTTCCTCGTCCCCACCTCCTCCTCTCTCCTTCTCTTCTTCTTCCACACCTCCTCTCTCCTTCTCTTCTTCTTCCACACCTCCTCCTCTCTCCTTCTCTTCTTCTTCCACACCTCCTCCTCTCTCCTTCTCTTCCTCGTCTCCACCTCCTCCTCTCTCCTTTTCTTCTTCTTCCATACCTCCTCCCGTCTCCTTCCCATGAATGTTGAGGTTTTTAAATCTACAAACAGAAAACAAAATCTAATATAAAGACCGTCCCCCGCGGTAGGTACCTGTGGCCAGCGTGCTGACAACAATCGGAGTCTCCCCTCCTTCCGTATCCTGGGAGGAGCCCGGGAGAGTGACATCACAGAGCAGCCGTGGCAGGCAGCCATCAACGTGTACCGGCCCAGAAACAAGGCACACTTATTCCTGTGTGGAGGGGTCCTTATAGACTCCTGCTGGGTCCTCTCTGCTGCACACTGCTTCGAGGACGGGTATGTCTAGTACACACATACATGCACACATTCACACACATACACACGCATCCACGCACACAGTGCACACACACACACAAGTGTAACTCAGTGATCTGCTGTCTCCGTCAGGTTTAAACCAGAGCGGCTGCAGGTGGTTCTAGGCAGGACGTTTCGTAAGAACTCCTCCAGCAGTGAGCAGATCTTTGAGGTGGAGAAGTACTGGAGCCACGAGAAATACAACAAGGAAACCTTTGACAACGACATTGGTGAGCCAATGCAATGTTAAAGGCCCAGTGCAGTCAAAATTCATTTTTTCCTGTGTTTTGTATTGTACGAAAGCTGATGAAACAACATTTTATTAGTGTTATTTCCTGATAGTTGCTGGTTGAAAATACCATTTATATAGGACCTTCTAATCAGCCTGTTTGAATGAGTTTCGGCTTGCCTGGTGACAACACCAGGAGGTACAGTGCCTTGCAAAAGTATTCAACCCCCTTGGCGTTTTTCCTATTTTGTTGCATTACAACCTGTAATTGAAATTGATTTTTATTTGGATTTCATGTAATGGACATACACAAAATAATCCAAATTGGTGAAGTGAAATGAAAAAAATAACTTGTTTAAAAAAACTCTAAAAAATAAATAACGGAAAAGTGGTGCGTGCATATGTATTCACCCCCTTTGCTATGACGCCCCTGAATAAGATCTGGTGCAACCAATTACCTTCAGAAGTCACATAATTAGTTAAATAAAGTCCACCTGTGTGCAATCTGTGTCACATGATCTGTCACATGATCTCAGCATATGTACACCTGTTCTGAAAGGCCCCAGAGTCTGCAACACCACTAAGCAAACGGCACCACCAAGCAAACAGCACCACGAAGACCAAGGAGCTCTCCAAACAGGTCAGGGACAAAGTTCTGGAGAAGTACAGATCAGGGTTGGGTTATAAAAAAATATCTGAAACTTTGAACATCCCACGGAGGACCATTAAATCCATTATACATTTTTAAAAATAATATGGCACCACAACAAACCTGCCAAGGGAGGGCCGCCCACCAAAACTCACGGACCAGGCAAGGAGGGCATTAATCAGAGAGGCAACAAAGAGACCAAAGATAACCCTGAAGGAGCTGCAAAGCTCCACAGCGGAGATTGTAGTATCTGTCCATAGGACCACTTTAAGCCGTACACTCCACAGAGCTGGGCTTTACGGAAGAGTGGCCAGAATAAAGCCATTGCTTAAATAAAAAAATAAGCTAACATTTGGTGTTCGCCAAAAGGCATGTGGGAGACTCCCCAAACATATGGAAGAAGGTACTCTGGTCAGATGAGACTAGAATTGAGCTTTTTGGCCATCAAGGAAAACTCTATGTCTGGCGCAAACCCAACACCTCTCATCACCCAGAGAACACCATCAGAATTGAAGGAATGATGGATGGCACTAAATACAGGGAAATTCTTGAGGGAAACCTGTTTCAGTCTTCCAGAGATTTGAGACTGGGGCGGAGGTTCACCTTCCAGCAGGACAATGACCCTAAGCATACTGCTAAAGCAACACAAATAATAACAAATAACAACAAATAATAACAAGATAACTAATAATGTAAGCATACTGTGTCCATAATAAGTATATAGGTTGTATGTTGGGAGCTTTTGGGAAAGAGCACAGTTAGAAAGATATGGCATATAGAAGCAAACCGGATGGACATCATGAAAATGATCGGAGAGGTTGAGAGTAGAAGAAGTTCAGGAGCAAAAACAAATAAAATAGAATTATTGTAAAATTGACTGTGTCAATAAAATATAGATAGTAAGTATAAGCTGGAAGTAGAGGCCTAAGCATTGTTGTTCACTAATTTACCCCAAGTAGGGAAAGGATGGCGGGGTTGAAAAGTGATAAAGGGGAGTATATATATAAACATAATAATATAATAATAATAATAATATGCCATTTAGCAGACGCTTTTATCCAAAGCGACTTACAGTCATGCGTGCATAAAATTTTTTTTGTGTATGGGTGGTCCCGGGGATCGAACCCACTACCTTGGCGTTACAAGTGCCGTGCTCTACCAGCTGAGCTACAGAGGACCAGCTGGTAGTGATGCAGACAATTACATTGATGGAAGTTACAATCTATCTGCAATATTAGGCTGATCTACCCCCCCCCCCCTAAAAAAAATTTTTTTCAACACTTGAGTGGTTTAAGGGGAAACATTTAAATGTCTTGGAATGGCTTAGTCAAAGCCCAGACCTCAATCCAATTGAGAATCTGTGGTATGACTTAAAGATTGCTGTACACCAGCGGAATCCATCCAACTTGAAGGAGCTGGAGCAGTTTTGCCTTGAAGAATGGGCAAAAATCCCAGTGGCTAGATGTGCCAAGCTTATAGAGACATACCCCAAGATACTTGCAGCTGTAATTGCTGCAAAAGGTGGCTCTCCAAAGTATTGACTTTGGGGGGGTGAATAGTTATGCATGCTCAAGTTTTTAGTTTGTCTTATTTCTTGTTTGTTTCACAAGAAAAAATATTTTGCATCTTCAAAGTGGTAGGAATGTTGTGTAAATCAAATGATACAACCCCCCAAAAAATCAATTTTAATTCCAGGTTGTAAGGCAACAAAATAGGAAAAATGCCAAGGGGGGCGAAAACTTTCGCAAGCCACTGTAAATTGGTTAATAGACCAATAACAAAGAGTTCCAAACCTCTCTGCCAATAACAGCTAGTTTTAAGTTTTCCCCTCCCCACTCAGACCACTCCCAGACAGTCCAAAAAGCAATTTTTGTCCATTTTAATGGAAAACTATTATAGTAAGGTACTTAATTGTCACCCAGAAATGATTTGATATTGATTTAAAATTGCTGCATTTGGGCCTTTAAGCACTGACACATCAATCCGTATGACATGATTATGTAGTATTTATGAAGAGCCATTGAAACCATAGTATAGCACAATCACTCATTCTCTTCCGGCCCTCCTCCTCCGTGCCCTCTCCTCATCCTCTTCCTCCCTCAGTCTTGATGAAGCTGAAGAGTGATATTGGCCTGTGTGCTGTGAACTCGCCGGAGGTCCTACCCGCCTGTCTGCCTGACCCAGGCCTGGTACTGCCTGACTGGACCGAGTGTGAGATCTCCGGCTACGGCAAAGAGAAGGAGTGTAAGACAGACATCATCCTTTCTTTGAATTCTTAATCTATTTTTTAAACTGGTTCTATGGTTTATTTTCTGTAGCCTAAATCACACAGAATAATTTTAAAATACCTAAGGCAATGTTTCTTAATCCTGGTCCTGGGGACCCAAAGGGTTGCAAATTTTTATTTTTGCCCTAGCATTACACACCTGATTCCACTAATTAAAGGGTTGATGATGAGTTGATAAGAGGAATCAGGTGTGTAGTGCTAGCTAGGGCAAAAACGAAACATTTACAGGATTAAGAAACACTTACCTAAGGGAATACATGCATACATTTAATACAGTATCTTCTGATGATAACCCTTGCTATCTTTTTTTATCCAGTCTAGAGATGTAAACAATATTATATAGGCTATAGGTGTTAGCGACGGCATTGAGGAATTAATCTAATACTCTCCCCCCATAGTTGATGCGATGTACTCTGAGCGGGTGAAGAGGGGTCACGTGAGGTTGTGGCCTCAGGACCGCTGTGTCCCTAATGTCTTATCTGGACGTCTGGTCACCTCCAACATGCTGTGTGCCGGGGACACCCGTGGTCTGGACGACGCCTGCAAGGTGAGGAGGGCTCTTCTTCACTCTCCTAACACTCTCTGTCTGCGTCCCAAATGGCACCATATTCCCTATATAGTGCATTTGTCCATAGTAGTGCACTATATATGTAGGGAATAGGGTGCCATTTGGCATGCAGTATGCAGCCCTAAGCCCCAAACACTCTGCAACACTAAGCACTTAAATAGCTAATTAGCTGGTATGGTTGAAACAAGTATGTGTCATGTTGGATGTTAGTACTACTGCTAATCTTTATCAAATGGAACAGTATGCCTACTGCTGAGCCATGACAACCACAACTGACCCATGTCCCTAATCTACTCCTCTCCTCTGCAGGGGGACTCTGGCGGTCCTCTTGTCTGTCCCAAGGATGGGAGGATGACTCTGATGGGGCTGATCAGCTGGGGAGATGGCTGTGGGAAGAAAGACACGCCCGGGGTGTACACACGTGTTACACAATACACTGACTGGATCAGCAGCAAGAAACAGGAAACTAGCCAGTAAACAAACGCACATACACTCACCTGGAGAGAACTTGTGAGAGAATTCATCTTACTCCGTCATCAGAGAATTCATCAGACTCCTGTCCATCAATCGCAATGAATGCCTTAACCGAAGGAATGGACAACCACTTAACGCATAAAAGGAACCTCTAGTACTCCAGTACATTCTGTGTAAGCATTGTTTAACTCTTTGTGCCTCCAAAGTGAATAGACTACTACTCAATCCAGCTCAGTGCCTTCCAGCTGATTCCTGTTCTACCCAGAGCTATAACGTTATATCTCCATATGCAGCTCACAGAATGTTGGACATTTACTTTGCACACAAGGTTCCATAGGAATGTATATAGCCACTCCAATTAACATTTTCCAGTTCATTTAGAGTTAATTTTACATTGGTGGCTTGCTGTCTGAATGTTGCCATGTTACATCAGTGCATATGTTACCCTACAACACCATAACATTAACCACAAGACAATCTGCTGGATCTGAGTCAATGTAAGACAGCGGCTGCATTCCAAACTGAAAACTCAACCCCATCGCTCCGCACATGTTGACTCCCTCAGCCCCTAACTGTTCTGTTTGGAACTTATGGGTCTAAGCAATAAGGGGGGGGGGGGGGCATGAACGAAGGGATTGAGTTGTCAAATTGGAACATAGCCAGAGCCTGAATACAGCCACCATTATCTGTCTCCATTCCATAAGCGTTGGGTTGAGCCCAGCGATCAGCATGTACAGTATTTTAATGTTGGTTTTATGTTCAAAGGGAATGGGAGGTGTTTGCAATGACTGGAAGTTTGTACTGTATCTAACAAAAGCTATTTGCCTGCAAAGCCCTTGGACTCCACCTCCCTCCCATAGTACAGTATTTGGTTATGTTTGAGTGGGTGTTCATATTATGTATCTCATAAACATACACCCTCTCAAGGAGAGTAATGTTTTATTTTATTTTACTGGTGTGTATTAAGTTAATATTTATGTCTGTTTCTATTACTATTTTTTCTACTGTAATAGTTTATGCAGTTTTTTTAGTAGCTCAATGTGTAGAGTTTTGGAAACGTTGTTTATGTTTATCATAACCTTTTTCTAAGAAAGACACACCTATCTTTTAAAATAAAAAACATTTAAGTGAAGTTGATGGTTATCTCTTCAATTTCTCTTGTTACAGGGGTAGGCTGTGCCCTAGACTAGAGTAAGCCTAGAGGCCTAGACACACAATAGCACATACATGAATTAAAATGACTTCTGTGTGTATCATCATGCCAGCACACATCAAATAACATATTTTTAGTACTTGGCTACCGACTTTAAATGTCATGGAGATGAACCAAAGATATCCACATGTGCATTGGAGTCCTGTTTTATTTTGGAATGTACAGCAATTGCTGACAAGCAAAACATTGTGGGACTATGTCAACAATGACCTACTGAAACAAATACCAAAAGATAGTTTTTGGGTGGAGTTTTCCTTTAATAATAATCCTTTCCTGTGCATATTTGTCAAACATTTCGACCAGCTGAAGGACCAACACGACGGACAATCGACAGAGTAAATTGTGTGTGGCGTTGATTACACAATTGAAAGCATTGCCACGTTTCGTGACTTTCGGGATTCATTTTTCCCCTTCACATTTTTTAAATGACAAGGGGCTTACGTTTTGCCCTTTTTTCTACGGCGTACCCCCGCATACCCCCTCAATTAAAGCACTGCTTTATTGTCGTGTCTATGTAGTGTCCTCCCAGGTAGAGTGAGAGCGCTTTCCTACAGTAGACAATGGTCACGTTCCCCTGCTCAGACATTGCATGCATCAACCAATGGTTGTTTGCTGTGTCATCTACTGTGCGTCGGGCACCAGATTGCCATAACATATAACATAGCTGATATTTAGAATACCTATCCAGACGTTGTAAGATCTGGCATGGGCAGAGAAATGGGCCCTATGAAAGCGCAAAGGCCAATGGAGGGTGTATCCCACTATCTAATAAGCTTCCTCTCCTTGTTTCCTTTGCATCCTCTCCTTACATATTCCGAAGAGACATCCACCATATTGTTCTTACCTATATCACGCCTTCTTAGTTTTCAGTTCAGTCACAGTGCAGATGAAGGAGAGGAGAGGTAACTTTAGATTTAGCCTGGTCTCAGAAGTTGAAGTGCGCTCTTCCTTATACTGTCTATAGGACCATAAAACCTTACTGATTCAACATTATGCTGTGGAAGAATTTAACTTGAACATTTATTTAGTTTTTTTTTGCGACGGCCAGGCATCAGGTAGGTTAGGCTGTAAACCAGGTGGCACTTAGCAGTCAGAGTGACGGAGTGGAATGCAAATTCTCAGAGGGATAGAGGGAGGCACATCAGGACTGTTGTAGCGGCTAGCCTAACTGTTCACAGTTCAGTGTCCCTCGTCCCGCTCTTACTCTAATGCCTATTTGCATCCGAGGCCAGCAACAAAGAACTTTCCTCATGAGTTGAGAAGAGACTCCAGAATTATGACAATGGTAACGTACAGTTTAAATTTGTTACCTTCTGAAAAGAATCAGACAATAATAGAGCATATAAACGTGTATTTGTACAGACTTCTCACTTTGTGGTGATAAAAGGAAGTTACACATAGCCCAATTTGCCTATAACATTGCAACAAATTGTTCAAAAAATTATAAATACAGTAGTAGGCTACCTTGATTACGGAATGGAGAACTGTGATGAACGTTATAATGACGAGTCATTCAGTTTTACAGTGTTATACAGTGTGGACTTTCACTTTTCGTACAGTGGCTTTATTGTTGATCAAGTAAACGGTGACACCTGTTCCCAGTTATTGCGTTCAACCAATCTGCCTGCACAAGCTCCCAATATAAACACTCACACAGCTGTGTAATGCCTAAGATTATAATGTTTACCAGTCATTAAAATAATTCCCTAAACGAAAGGTTTTCACTGCAACATGTCCGTGTGCATCAATAGTCGTTAATTATTTATTTATTTGTTATTAAATAATGATAGTGCAGTGATTGAAAGTGAACAGCTGATGCAGGGCTTGAGATCCATGCGTGTTTTTAGGGTTATGTGCCAATATAATATTTCCTTTCTCCTGAAGTGTACACTCGTTCACACACATTTAAAAGGATTGGCGGGATTGAGCTAGAGAGAGTTGCCACCATATTTCTTATATCAGTCATTTTCTTTTAAATCAGTGAAGGGAAGTGAAGAAGTGCACACTTTGGGAAGAAGGAGGGATATTGGGATGTGCCAGAGGGAGCCACAACCACCTGACCTGTGCCAGAAAGGCACAGACCTCTTGGAAGTGGTCGTAGTAGCTACGATCACATACTGGGAGGCTATCTGGCCTAGTAGTATTGAAGTCCATGATAGCTAAGGGTTATGTTTGTACAATAGTAACGTGCCATGATATGAAATACACTGTAAGATAAACCTCTAGAAAATAGTTACACAATACATGTATGGCTGTACCATTGCACTTTACCAGGCAGAACCAGAAGCCAGCACACCGATGAGCAGCTTAGCATTAGCCAGTACCACTGCACTGTGCTCTGTCCCTGTTTGCATCAGATAAGGTTCATAGACACACGGCCATTTCCCTTTTCTACTGGTAGTTTATGGTCTCCCACGGTCCATAACAATGTAATTTTGTTTGGTCACTACTCACTCTCCCTGGCTTAAAGGGCTAGCTCAGCACACAATCATAAATTGATTGTTTTCATATCTTAGAAGTTGTCAAGCCGAGCTCATTATTGAACACATTGCCTGCTCCCTCCCTTTGTAGTGCACTACTTTTGACCAGGACCCATAGGGAATTTGACCAGGGCCTACTATATAGGGCCCTCAAACTAAACTCTGGACCCCGAAGCCAGTTCCACTGTGTTTTTTCATTATTGCCCTCTAATCAGGGACTTATTTAGACCTAGGACACCAGGTGGGTGCAATTAATGATCAGGTAGAAAAGAAACCAGCAGGCTCCGGACCTCGTAGGGTAAGGGTTGAATACCCCTGATATATACAGTGCCATTTTAATTATGACACATCACCCGCTGTTGTGTAGATTTCACTGTAGGCCTTACCAAATCTGCAGCCTCGATCTCTACTAATTGGGAAACATTGGCAGCATCTTTATGGGATTGAAACCTACATATCTCTCCTAATGCATAGAGTAAAGATCCACACAATTTACTGTATTGTTGTCTTGTAGTCAGTTTGACTTTGGACCATATATGAAAAAATCTATCAAACTTTGAATATGTGGTGAGCTATTAGCCTTTTAAAGAAGTTGTCTGTTCTCTAAAATTAGACTGGGTTTTTCAGACTGGGGGAAAAACAAGAGGTTGCTATTTGAAAGAGTTTACACAGATGCTGTTGGTTGGATAAGGAACATGCATTCTGAAATGATTTAAACTCTGCTGCCTGGGACACAAACAATAACAAAGTAAGGAATCCTCAGCTTATTTGCTGTACTTTTGATCAACATGTTGCTGTCTGTCTTGGTCTATATACCAACTACTTTAAAGGTAGGAAAAACATGAGTTATTAAATTAACAACACTAAACAGGACATGTTAATGATTTAAGACATGTCAGTACATGAATATGTTAATGGTGGCGCCTAGGACTGTAACAATGGGGGAAATGATATTCAAAGTAGTGTCGACCTGAGGCATACATGTCAGTTATGACTCATGCCATCTTCCTTTCCACTAATTACACAGACCTACAGCTTGCTAACCATAATGCCAGAGAATCCCTGAAGTCTATAAAATGTTCATTGATTGATTAGTTGATATTGATTAGTTGACTGATTGACTGATTCTTTGATTGATGATGACACTGTTTCAGTAATGGGATACAGTAAAACAGAAAATAGGTTTGTTTTCTAAAGAGAGACTTTAGCAAAGACCATGTGGGCTGGCTTTGTTCATTACCAATGTTGACGCACAGGATATCTAAACATTAACCAGATGAATCAACTCAAACTGTGCTTCTCTTGCCTTCTCCCCCCTCTCCTCTCTCCCATATCCATTCTTCCCGTCTCATTCTCCCCTTTCCCTCCCCCCTCTCTATTTCTGGGATCATTTACATCAGTCCTTCCTCTCCTTGCTGACCAGCCCTGCTCGGAAACACAGCCAAGTTCACTTCCTGGTTTTAGTCACCTGTTTCATCACGGGGACAGTGTGCCACATATTACAGCCTCTATTATCCTCCTCTCCCAGACACACACATTGTTGTGGCTTCACTAGATCATTTGTAAAATGTGTAATTTGTGTAATCATTTGTGTAAATAGTTTATTTCACCTACCAAGGCTAGTGTAAAATAAATACATATTTTAGATTCTTGGACATTGAAATTCTCAATATTCCCCTGTGGTAGTTTGTGATAGTTTAAGTCTTCTTCAAAGTTGTTTTCTTTTGATTTATTGTGACCTGAGGTCTTGGCTTTGGATGAAAGCTCTTTTGTCTATCCTAGTGCCCTTCTGACACAGCCTGTGTAATAGCTCTGATAGCGAATCTGATGGGAGAGGGTTAACTACATGTAAATGTCTGGGATGGGCCAGACATACAGTATAAGGACACCCTTTATTGTATGATGTCACACAACTGGTTTGAAAATGATAGTGTTGAGATTGTATCGTGTTTGTGTTCGTGTGTGTGTTCATGTGTGTGTTATAGATTTCAGTCATTCCATTTTATTTTTCAGAGTTTCTTTGGAAAATTAAAGAACCTGTAAGTAGCCTACAATGTAGATAAACGTTTTGTTCTTCATTCTTATCTGCCTGACCAGAACTATAAGGCACTGACATGACACAGCACGTAAGTAACATTTCTCTTTCCTCTTTTTCATTACAGACACAGTGGGCCTCCAGCTCCACCCAAAAGAATAGGTGAGCCTTCAGGAAATCCCCCTTATTATGCTAGTGGTTTTAGGGTTCCTCTTTATGGAAGTTTTAATGTGAAGTGCTTCTTCTGCCCTCTCCCTCTCTCCCTCATCGCTGTACCTCTTCTCCCCCATTTCTCTTTCTCTATCCCCCTTTTCTACTTTCTCTTTATCTCTATTTCTTTGTTTCAGAGAACAATGCGGGATATGGTGGCTGGCCAGAAGATGAGTTTGTAAGTAGAAAAACACACACATATGGACCCAGACTGACACACCAATGGGTATTTTGTTGGGAGAGGTCCTGTGTAGTCATCTTGGTTTGTGTGTGTGTGACAGGACGAGGAGGATGGGGACACATATGAGGCTCCCCCCTGTGAGCGACCCGCCATGAAGGTTCCTCCCAGACATGTGGAGGAGAATGTCTATTTGGGTAACACCACCAATGTAGACTATCATTCTCATTTGAGATTCGCTAAAATCTGACTTTCATGGAAAGTATGCATTGATGCCAATGGGAGTTTGGTGCAAGGATCTCAAGTTATGATTTGGCCCTGTATGTATTGTGGTGTGCTTTTATGTGAACTTTTTCAGAGGGACTATATCTCTTTGTTTTGTAGGACAGGAGGTATCTCTCTGATTGGCTGTTTTTGGGTTCCACAGATAGGACATCAGAGAGGTCCAATCGTGTTCTTCCCAAAAGGCAGGCAGCTCCGCCCCCAAGGCCAGTCAAGATGGCGCCCATGGGCAAAGCATCGGTAAACTATCAGAGTATCCATGCCCATACCTACCTCTCACTAGCCTGTCTGCCTGTCTCTGTGTGTGTGCATTCCTTTAGTGTTATTTAATGTTGTCTTTCCCCTCTATAGAAACAGCAGCCTCACCATCAGCCTGACCCTGATGAGTTCTACATCGACCCCAACACCAAGAAACGTGAGACTCCTCTCTCTATCCTCCCATCTCTATCCTCTTCTCTCTACCCACTGGGCACAGACATCAATTCAATGTCTAGTCCACGTTATTTCAATGTAATTTCGTTAAAATGACACGGAAATAACGTTGATTCAATCACTGTGTGCCCAGTGGGTATCCTCCCCTCTCTAGCCTCTACTCTCTATCATCTTCTCTCTATCCTCTTCTCTCTATCCTCCCCTCTCTATCCTCTTCTCTCTATCCTCTTCTCTCTATCCTCCCCTCTCTATCCTCTTCTCTCTATCCTCCCCTCTCTATCCTCTTCTCTCTATCCTCCCCTCTCTATCCTCTTCTCTCTATCCTCCCCTCTCTATCCTCTTCTCTCTATCCTCCTCTCTACCCTCTTAGTCCAGGACATGCAGGTTTCAAGTTTTATTAGTCGTATGTGTGGGATACACATGGTATACACCAGGGGTGTCAAACTCATTTTAGCTCAGGGGCCACATGGAGGAAAATCTATTCCCAAGTGGGCCGGACCGGAAAAATCATGGTATATATAACTTAAAAACAACAACTTCAGATTGTTTTCTTTGTTTTAATACGATCAACATACAACATAAAGCTGGAGCCTGAGGACAGTGTGTCCAAAATAGTACAAGCACAACATCACTATTAATCATGAAACATGTCAAGTTTATTTGAAAATTCTAAAGAAAAAGAACACACAAACACACAATGCCTCAGTGATTAACAGAAGTATATCACAGAAGTATATCACAGATCACAGAACTATATCAGGGTGTCATTTCTCAGGCAGAAATGTAGATAAAAATAATGAAATCCTGTTCCCCAAACAAGTGCAAGAACCACAGAGTCAAGAATAGGTTAAATATACAAATAAAATAAAATCAATTAAAAACAATAGCACATCAACATAAAAACATATAAACATAAAGCTGGAGCTTGAGGACAGTGTCCAAAAGCACAACATCACTATTAATCATAAAACACCTCAAGTTATTTGAAAGTTCTGAGGACAAAGAACACACAAACACACAATGCCTCAGTGATTCACAGAAGTATATCACAGAAGTATATCACAGATCACAGAACTATATCAGGGTGTCATTTCTCAGGCAGAAATGTAGATAAAAATAATGAAATCCTGTTCCCCAAACAAGTGCAAGAACCACAGAGTCAAGAATAGGTTAAATATACAAATAAAAATCAATTAAAAACAATAGCACATCAACATAAAAACATATAAACATAAATCTGAAAGCGTTGCTCAAACTCCCGTAACAGTCCCGTTATTTTATCTTTGAACCGCTTCATGTCTGCCACATGTTGGGTCACGCACACATTTTTCAGACAGGGGAAGTGAGCTGCATCACCACCGGCAAGTTGCGTCTCCCACAATGACAGCTTCAACTTGAAAGAACGTATGCTGTCATAATACTGCGTGACAACTTTGTTGCGCCCTTGCAGCTGTTTGTTCAAGTTATTCAGGTGCTCTGTAACATCCACCATAAATGCAAGGTCCTGCATCCATTCTGCGGAATGAAATTCTAACACTGGTTTGCCCTTTTCTTCCATGAACTGTTCAATTTCTTCTCGTAAATCAAAGAAACGCCTCAGCACAGCACCTCGGCTTAACCATCTTACCTCAGTGTGGTATGGCAGGCCATAGATGTGGTCTTTCTCTCTGAGAAGGCTGTCAAACTGACGGTGATTCAGGCTTCTGGATCGGATGAAATTAACAGTTTGGATGACCACCTTCATGACGTTATCCATCTTTAATGACTTGCAACACAAAGCCTCCTGGTGCAAAATACAGTGAAAAGTCAAAAAATCACGTCCTCCATTTGCAGATTGCACTTTCTCTCTGAACTTTGTCACAACGCCTGCTTTTTTCCCGATCATTGAGGGCGCACCATCTGTAGCCAGGCTGACAGCGCGGGACCAGTCCACTCCGACCCTGTCCAGCGCGCGACGAGTGCGGTAAAAATATCAGCTGCTGTCGTTGTATCTGTCATCGGCACCAACTCCACGAACTCCTCGGTGACGGTCAATGTGTCATCAACTCCGCGGATGAAAATGGCCAGTTGTGCAACATCTGTAATGTCCGTGCTTTCATCAATTGCAACCGAAAACGCAATAAATGACTTTACTTTTTGCTTCAACTGGCTGTCCAAATCCACTGAAAGATCGGAAATCCTGTCTGCAACTGTGTTTCTTGTCAGGCTGATATTTGCAAAAGCCTGCCGCTTTTCAGGGCACACAATCTCCGCTGCCTTCATCATGCATGTTTTTACAAATTCACCCTCACTAAATGGTTTTGAAGCCACTGCGATTTCATTAGCAATGAGGTAGCTAGCTTTCACTGCAGCGTCACTGATGTCTCGGCTGTGAGTAAACACAGACTGCTGTTTCTTCAGACCCGCCAACAGTTCATTCACCTTCTCTCATCTCCGCTGTCCTTGAAAGTTGTCATATTTGTCGGCATGAAGACTCACATAGTGGCGACGAAGGTTATATTCTTTCAGCACTGCAACATGCTCTGAACACACCAAACATACAGCTTTCCCATTCAATTCCGTGAATAAATAGGATGACCATTTTTCTTGGAACACTCTGCACTCTGCGTCCACTTTTCTCTTTTTTGAGAGAGACATATTGGGGCAATGAGGGTGCCAAAGCACATAATGTTAAAAGTAGAAGCCGTAATAAATATCGCGGGCAAAACAAAGTAGCTCATTGGCTGCACGTGCTTGACCTACTTGCTCTGCCCCGGTATAAACAGTTTGCTTGCTTAACAAAATTGCTATTGCACCATCCAGTGGACGCAATTGGAACAGCAGTTTATTTTATTGAAAAATTGCAGCGCATTTTTATACTTTACAAAATTATTATTATTATTTAATTTTTTTCAAAATCATCTCGCGGGCCGGATTAAACCCGTTTGCGGGCCTGATCCGGCCCGCGGGCCGGACGTTTGACACCCCTGGTATACACCGTCCAAAGAAATGCTTACTTGCAGGTTCCTTCTGGACAATGCAACAATAATAAGAAATAATAAAAGATAAGAATACGAACATATTGTAAATGGCTCAGTAGAATATAATAAACATTTTAGCATAAGTATAATACAGGTGTTTTGGGGAAGGGGGATTCAGCTGCAAGTGTTTAAATTGTGCAGTATTTAGCTATCATAATAAGAGTCTGGTAGCAGCAGTTGTGATGTGTGTGTGTGTGGATGTCTGTATGGGTGTGTGAGTGAGTGCTATGTGTGCTAAGGTGCGGAGAATCAGAGCAGGTGGTCAATCCAGTTGAAGTGTTCAGCCGTCTGATGGTTTGTAGATATAAACTGTCTCTGAGCCTGTTGGTATCCAACCACATGGTCCAATAACGTCTGCCAGACGGTAAGGGAGTGAACAGCTTGTGGTTGGGGTGTGTGGGGTCCTTGATGATGCTGTGGGCCTTCCTCAGGCACCATTTCGAGTAAATGTCCTGGATGGGTGGGAGTTTATCCTATATGATGATTGTGTATTTTAAATATGGATATGAATTGTGCCCTATACATAGATGTGAATGTTGATTGATGAAAAGCTGTAACAGGTAATATCATTCTTGAGGCATTTATTGTACAGGAAAATTCACTTAAACAAACCAGTAAGTTAAGTTTGAGATGGTCAAGCTTCCCTCTCTTCTCTCTAGCTCCTGAGGTAGACAGGAAGGAGAAGCCAGGGAAAAGGTCTACTCCTAAGAAGTCTGCCCCTCCTCCTTCCCGCCCTGCCCCTGCTCAAGCCCCTCCGCCTGCAGAGGAAGGTAAACGCTACAGTCATAGGTCTAGCTCGACTAACCGGTGCCCCCTCACATTGACCCGGTACCGGTACCCCCTGTATATAGCCTCACTATATTGTTATTTTTACTGCTGCTCTTTAATTATTTGTTACTTTTATTTCGTATTATTTTATATTGTATTTTTAGTGCGATTGTTTTTTTTTGGGGTGGTATTCTTTCTTAAAACTGCATTGTTGGTTAAGGGCTTGTAAGTAAGCATTTCACTGTAAGGTCTACACCTGTTGTATTCAGCCCATGTGACAAATAAAATGTGATTTGATTTTGATTTGCCCGATAGATGCGCAGGCGGTGCATTGCATTAACCAATGGTTGCATGCCACGTCATCGACTGTGCATAGCTGATATGTTAAATACCTATCCAGGTGTTGTAAGATCTGGCATGCGTCTGCAATGTAGTAGGGCAGGAACTCGACCATAATCATACCCTGGAACCCTAATCTGACATTGGTGTGCTATTACATCAAGTCACCACTAGAGGGATGTTTTGAAACTGCAACAGCATCAGCCTCTGTTTTCTCTGTTGTGCTCTGCAGATGTCTACCTGGATCCTAATGAAGGACAGGTGAGTCCAACAGATTGTTAACAGACAGAGCCTCACCCCTACCTCCATCCCCCAAACCGTAGCCTTTGCATCCGCTGTACCCTTTTAACACATTCTTGATGGACAATTAGTATATTCATAGTTCCATAGGACCCTGAGTTGTCTGGTTTCTGGACAATTTCTACTTTGGCCAGAGAGAGGTGATTAATATGCGTGTTGTGTCTCTGTTTCAGGGAGACAGTGATGACCTGTATCTAGAGCCCACAGCAGGTCAGTTACTCCTGTAGAACCTCTAATACAGCCTCAGGATCAATGCATTTATACTGAGGTTTTGACTATTATCTGGATTGATTGATTGATTGCAACTCCAGAGAGAATATATTTTATATGAGATAAAGAGACAGTACATGAATTCCAAATTATTAAAGAAAAAACAAGTCAATGGCTTATTTTGAGATTTAAAAAAATCCTTGGCACTGTCAAAAATAAATACTCCTGTCTCTCTAGCTTGCCCCCCTGCTCCTCGCGGGCCCATAAGGATGCCCCTCCCACCCAAGACAGCAGTTGCCCCTCCCCCCATGCCCATGTGAGTACACCTGTCAAGACATGAGATAAAAAAAAATGCTCAAATTCATCTTGGTGTAATTTAGGTGTACATCACCACTTCCATTTTGTTCATCGTTATGCAAATGCACCAACTGAAATTAAATTCACCTCCTGATTGACTGGGTTAAACTGACCTTGACACCATCCCTGATACCAGTGCCATTGTATGTCATGAGAGAAGCCATATTATTGTTTTTGAGTTTTGTTGTTTGACATGCGATATCAGCTCAGTCCCACCCTGTCTGTCTGTCTGTCTGTCTTTCTCTGTAGAAAACCTCCAGTGCCCAGAGCCAAGTCGGTCAGTTTCTCCATGGTTCACACATTATTTAACACACCACGGGCACATGATTTAACACATCACACCACTGGCCGGTTTAAAACACAGAATTGGCCCGTTTCACAGATTCTCCACTGAACATGTTTTTTAGTGCAGGAGTATAGGCCTAATCTGTGTCCACATTCGAATGAGTTTCACTCTTTGCTCCATTCCAGAGTTCTCTATTGGTCAGTGAGGCAAAGACAGGTAAGTGACACTACATTCTGTCTGACTAAAAATAGATGGGTCATGATGATAATGTCTGCATCCCAAATGGCCTATTCCCTACATGCACTACTTTTGACCAGAGCCCTACATAGGGAACTGGTTGGGTTCCATTTGGAACGCAACCATGGAGTGAAAATGCAGAACCTGTTCCGTTTCTGTGACCCCCCCCTCCCCCAGCTCTTCCGCCTGATGTGAAACGCTCCACGTTCCCTGGCAAGCTGCCCCCACCCACCCCAGGCATCAAACCCCCCCTCCCCGCGTCCCTAAAGGAACCCAAACCCAGGTGAGGCTTGGAAACACAGCCACTCTCACAGCACCATGCATGAACACACTGGATGAGACCACGCTACACGCTGCAAGAACATACATGTTTTATACGTGTTAAACATGTTAAGCAGGTTCATGCTTTATGAACTTTCAGTCTTGTACAAGCAGCAACAATCAAACACACATAGATACCACTTAGTATTGTCTGATAAGGATTTCCATTCTGTTTATTTATTTACATTTACATTTTAGTCATTTAGCAGACGCTCTTATCCAGAGTGACTTACAGTTAGTGAATACATTTTTTTTTTTTTTATACTGGCCCCCCGTGGGAATTGAACCCACAACCCTGGTGTTGCAAACGCCATGCTCTATCAACTGAGCTACATCCCTGCCGGCCATTCCCTCCCCTACCCTGGACGACGCTGGGCCAATTGTGCGCCGCCCATGAGTCTCCCGGTCGCGGCCGGCTGCGACAGAGCCTGGATTCGAACCAGGATCTCTAGTGGCACAGTTAGCACTGCGATGCAGTGCCTTAGACCACTGCGCCACTCAGGAGTTTCATTTATCCATGCAGTGTGTACTTTGTGGTCTATAAAGATGATCTTATCTTTGAAGTGTGTGTATCTATGATAACATAGCTAAGTCTTTGAATTATGAAGGCCTACTGTTCTTGTATATTCTATATTGTTGTAGCCACTGGCCTATATTGCTAATCTATTGTAGTAAGCATGTTGGCTAACGTTGGACCTGGTGTCTGTGTTGCAGCCCCCCTCCCCCTCCCACTGTAGACACTACCGCAGCAGGTAAGAGCATGCTGGGAACAGGACCAGTATTGGGTCACAGCTGAAGGATAGAAAGCCATAGAAATTGAAATAAAGGAAGGATGTGTGGAACTCTGAAAAGCTCCAACTGTGGTTTGCTTATCAGAGTTAAGGACATCCTTCATTTCTTTAAATTGTTGTTGGTTTTCTGTCCAGCATAATATGAACATGTTGGAGGTGCATATTGTTCATTTTTCATTACCTATGTAAATTGGAAGCCATTTTGATTATAACGTGAATTATAACATAATTATAACTTGTTTAACCCCGTCATATAGGGTCACTGTGGCTTCTGTCAGTATTGCTGTCTAGCATACTTGTGGCCTTGATTATAGCTACATGCTTTATTAGACTGTAGAGCAGATCATACACCGTGCTGTAGAGCACTCTACACGTTGGTCAACAACTCATTATTTCTGATTGAAATAATCAAAGCTTGATGATGAGTTTATTATTTGAATCAACTGTGTAGTGCTAGGGCAAAAACCAAATCATACACCGTGCTGTAGAGCACTCTACACGTTGGTCAACAACTCATTATTTCTCTCTATGCCAAAGTTTCTCCCTCTGGTATGAAGACAACCATGCAGGCAGGAAAGGAGGTATGTGTCTTTCACTCTCATACTGTACCGCTCATATAACCATGCATAATACAGTGTTAAAGTGCTACAAATGTTGCTGCAATCCTTTGTTAAATAGTGATATACCTGAAGTATGGGGTTTCAGGTATCCTTGGATATAAGTGAGTTGTGGGTTCGTTTCCCACGGGGGGCCAGTATGAAAATGTATGCACTCACTAACTGTAAGTCGCTCTGGATAAGAGCGTCTGCTAAATGACTCAAATGTAAATGTAAGTGTGGTGGCAGGCAGGGCAGGGTGTCATAGAGAACTGTGGTATGTTACAGGAGAAAGAGTGGTTCGCTGGAAACTGCAATAGAAAGACTGCTGAGGACCTCTTACTGCAGATCAACAAGGTGGGATACACACACACAAATGCACGCAAATACACACACACACACACACACACACAGTTCTTGAAGTACCATATAATAAAAATCTGAAAATTACTTAGAGGTATAGAATCCCCAGCTCTGAAGGACCTGGCCAATATGATTCCTGAATCAATATGATTAGTTATAGTTAGTTAGGCAGCATTCCTCAACAGTGAATCAATACTGCATTGATCTATTAGCCTGTCAAATACACCCACCTGTTCCTCTGTTGTTCTCTCCCCTCCTCTCTTTATGTATGTAGCTGAGTAGCTGCTGATGTGTTATAATGCTGCTGATTATATGAGTGTATCTGTCACTGGCCCTTTGTTTTCACTAACACAGCTGACCTGTTTCATTTCACGCTGAAATGGACAAGCATTAATGTGAGAGTAATCTGTCGTAACTCCCCTTTATTTGACTGCAGACAGATACACAGATTTGCAGGGAGGTTATATCAGACTCAGGATTGCAGCGAAGGCACAGGGCAGTGCAGAGGGTAATAGGGTATTCTCTCAGTATTCTGTTGTGTGTGTGTGTGTGTGTGTAGCCTCGGGGTACAGCTGAGACATACACACACCATCACTGAGTGAGTCATCTGTGCTCATTCAAAGGCCCTGTGGGTTTTGATACTGATATTCTCTCTCTCTCTCTCTCGTAGGATGGGGCATTCCTGATACGTTGCAGTTCGGCCCAGAACGCGCGTCAGCCCTACACGCTGGCTGTCCTATACAGACAGAAGGTCTATAACATCCCCATCCGCTTTCTGGAGGAGACGCGCGGCTACGCCCTCGGAAAGGAGGGCAAGAAGAACGAGGAGGTGAAGAGGGGGAGAGTGCTAAACAAGGGGAAAAATAATGAATCAGTGAAAGAGAATAGGAGGATGAGGACGAGAGTGGTGAGATAGGGGGATACAGAGAGAGAGAGAGGGGGGAAATGAAAATGTGAGAGGGTAGGGAGGAGGAGAAGTGAGGGATAAGGAGAGGGGAAAAGACAGAGGCCGCAGGAGGAAAGGAGGATTTGCAAAAAGAATGTGTAAAGGGAGAATGTGGGCAAAAAGAATGAAGAGGTCAGGTGAGGGAGGAGGGGATAGAGGGAGGATGTGGGAGGAACGGAGGATGTGTGGAAAAGAGACGAAGGAATGCAACTTAGTATTGTACTGTAACCTCTGTAATAACTATACTGTAGTAACTCTCTCCCTTTCTCTGTCCCTCACTACTCCCTCCCACCTCCCTCCCTCCACCTCTCTCTTAGTTTTTCTGTAGTCTCCAGGAGATCATCTCTCATCACAAGAATAACCAACTGCTGCTGATCGATAGCAAGAGTCAGGCCAAGCACACCACATATCTCACCCATCCAGCCCGTCCATAAATTACATTACCCATAACTCCCACACAATGTATCTCACCCACCCAGCCTGACCCTACACTACACTACTACTAAGGTGGCAGGTAGCCTAGCGGTTAGAGTGTTGGGCCAGTAACTGAAAGGTCGCTGGTTTGAATACCTGAGTCGATAAGGTGAAAAATCTGTCAATGTGCCCTTGAGCAAGGCACTTAAACCTAATTTGCTCCAGGGGCGCCGTGCTACTATGGCTGACCCTGTAAGACAACACATTTCACTGCACCTGTACATTTCACTTCGGTGTATGTGACAATAAAACTTGTTTTTTCTTCATAACCCACAGACAATGTATCTCACCTACACCAGCCCATCCATAAAGTACATTAAATGCTACCATTAATAACTAAATACATTTGATAACTTGGAAATACTACCTTCAATAGTCATGTTACTTACAACATGTCCATTACAAACCCTCTTTTTTGTTTTGTGATGAAAATGGCTAGAAGTGTACATATTACCGTATATCTGTGTACTGTATGTGTTTGTGTGTTTTAAAGTATGCTGTAATTACATCTGTATGACTTTATTAACCTATTTTTGTTTGAAATTAGATGAATTTGAAAATGCTTGCACCTGAATAGAGTAGTGAGTAGTCTGTGAAAAGGTATATTCAATACTTCATTCTTGCTCTGACTTTATGCAGTGTTTGTTTCAGTGAGTGATGGTGGATTCAATGTTGGGTCTACTCCTGTGTTGTGACTGAATACTGTGTAAGTGGCTCATCTGTAAGTTCCTATTTATATAATAATATAGTCTGAAATGTTCTGAAATCCTGTCTGTGTTTTATCATTTTGTTGTATTTGCAACACCACAGCGTGATAGGCATTTATTTCCCTCAAAGTTGAAGTTGTTAGTTAGATCTCCAAAAATGCAAGGTTTCACTCCATTTTAAACCACCGGGCACAGATGGCAGTAATATACCTATTGTAGTTGCATAGCACAACTCATCCACTCACCAATGAGCAGTTTAGAAATGTGCATTGGTGGCAGAAAATAAAAACGAGGATTATGATGATGACCACAGATAGGAGGAGAAGGATGAAAATGGAGATGTTGACTGGTTAAGGTGTGGTGGTAACTGCCAAAATAAAGGAAACACCAACATAAAGCGTCAATAAGGCATTGGGTCACCACAAGCCAGAACAGCTTCAATGCACCTTGGCATGAAGTCTACAAGTGTCTGGAATTCTATTGGACGGATGTGACACCATTCTTCCATGATAAATTGTTGATGTTGGTGGAAAACGCTGTCAGGGGTCGCTCCAGAATCTCCCATAAGTGTTAAATTGGGTTGAGGTCTGGTGACTGAGAAGGCCATGGCATATGGTTTACATTGTTTTCATGCTTATCAAATCATTCAGTGACTGCTCCTATACTGCAGATTGGGGCATTATCATCCTATGGGGGCATAGCCATGGCAACCAAAATAATGGCCTGCCCAGCATTTTTATACATGACCCTAGGCATGATGGAATGTTAATTGCCTAATTAACTCAGGAACCACACCTGTGTGGAAGCGCCTGCTTTCAATATACTGTAATGACCCAGCTGGGTCATAAAGTAAAAGAGAGACGGGCACCAGTTGTACAGGCAGAACACAGGTTTATTCCTGAATGGGCTATTGTTCAGGCCACAGCCCACGCCGCTAAACCTCGAACATACACAAATATAACATGTCAAATCAAGGGTCCCGAACAGAAGAGAGAGAGATGAGACCGTAACCCCTATTTAAGCATTCCAAAACTCCGCGGGATTACCCATCATACCCCCCCAACCTTTCCATCTGTCCTGGCATATTTAACCCCGGCTAGCACCCATGAGAACGATAACACACCCATGAACACAGAACACAATACAGGGTCGTTACATAGCCCCCCCCTTTCTAAACCCTAGCCCCTAGGGTTACAAAACAAAATCCTTAAAACGACCCGGAGGTCGCATCAGTCTCTTGTGCCTCCCCTTGACTCTCACTGGTGGACCCCCAGAACACTCATCTGCCCCAATGTCATTTCCAGCGCCCTCCGAAGAGGCAGCCCCCGTCCCAGGCTCAGCTTGCACTAGAGTCTCCTCGCTAGACTGTCCCCGTGTGCTCACATCAGAGTCCTCACTTCCATTCCCTACCGTTTTCCTCCCTCTGTAGGGCGCCAATCGGTCCCGATGGACCACCACCTTCCTGCTCCGTGGGGGAACCTCCACCCGGTACGTCACCTCCCCCACTCTCTCTATCACCAGGCACGGCCCCACCCAGGCACTGTCCAGCTTTGGGCACCGCCCCTTCTTGCGCGTGGGGTTGTGAAGCCACACGCGTTCTCCCGCTCCAAAGTGCCTCCCCCTAGCGCGTGAGTCATAGTGGCGCTTTTGGCGCATTCCTGCGTTCTCGAGTTGCTCTCTTGCGAAGGTGTGAGCCGCTTCTAACCGGTTCTGCAGACGACGAACATAGTTCGGGCCAGGCAAAACCCCGTCGTCGTTATCAGGAGGGTGGCCAAACGTCAGTTCGGCTGGGGTGCGCAACTCACGACCTAACATTAGTAGCGCTGGGGAGCACGCAGTCGATTCTTGAACAGCCGACCTACATGCCATAAGAATAAACGGTAAGTGGGTGTCCCAATCTCTCTGGTGTTTTGAGGTAACGATAGCCAGCTGTTGTGCTAATGTTCTGTTAAATCTTTCCACCAGCCCATCACTCTGGGGGTGAAGCGGAGTAGTGCGCGTCTTCTCCGCGCCTAACCGTCTACACAACTCTGAGAACACCCGTGACTCAAAGTTTCTCCCCTGGTCGCTGTGTATAGACTGTGGCACCCCGAACCGACTGATTATTCCCCCTACCAATGCATCAGCTACTGTTTCTGCCTCCTGGTCTGGCAGAGCGTAAGCCTCTGGCCACTTGGTGAAGTAGTCCATAGCAGTTAGAATCCACCTGTTACCGCTGTCTGTGGTTGGAAACGGTCCAACTATGTCTACCCCCAGTCTCTCCATGGGCTCCCCTACTGGGAATTGTTGTAGGAGGGCGTGTGAGTGACCTGGAGGTCCTTTCTTAGCAGCACACTCATCGGACTGCCTGCAAAAGTCCTCCACATCCCTCCTGTGCCTGGCCCAATAGAAGCCTTTACGTACGCGCTTTAACGTTTTGGAGACCCCAAAATGCCCTGCGCCTACACCCCCGTGAAGCTGCTGTAACACGCTCCCTTGCAGCCTTTTGGGAACCACTACCTGCCACGTCATTTCTCCAGTAGCTGGCTTTTTCCACCCCCTCTGGAGCACTCCCTCAGCCACTCTAAGGACTGAGAATTTAGCCCAGGGTCCTTTGGTGACTGGTGATAGAGGGGCTACTTCCCCCCATGGCGGTCGTCTTCTCTCTTCCACCCACCCCAGCACAGGACGCAGCTCTGCGTCCTCCTCCTGGCGACGCCTCCACTCCCCGGCGTCCACAGCCTCAAGCTCCCGGCACTCTGTCACCCTCAGCTGACTCACCGTGGCGGTGACTCCCTCCTCCATGCACAGTTCCCTCTCTCGCTCCACCCGTTTGGCGCAGTACCCACAGCCGTCCTCAGCACACGGGCGGCGGGACAAGGCGTCTGCATTGCTGTGTCGAAGGCCGGCCCTGTGCTCCACCTGGAAGTCGTAGGGTTGCAGCTCCTCCAACCAGCGGGCGATCTGACCCTCTGGCTCCTTGAAGGAGAGAAGCCACTGCAGGGCGGAGTGATCCGTCCACACCACAAACGGCAGGCCCCCCAGGTAGTACTTGAAATGGCGTACTGCTGCCACGACAGCCAAAAGCTCCCTCCTTGTCACGCAGTAGCGTTTTTCAGCCTTATCAAAAGTTCTGCTGTAATAAGCTACTACGTGCTCCCCGTCAGAACCACGCTGAGCCAGCACGGCCCCCAAGCCCTCATTGCTTGCGTCTGTGTCCAGGATAAACGGACGGTTCGGGTCTGGTGAGGACAGGACAGGGGCCTCCACCAGGGCACGTTTGAGGGCCTCAAACGCCCGCTGGTGCTCTTCGGTCCACTGAAAAACAGTGTCCTTCTTGAGAAGGTGGTTCAAAGGAGCTGCTATCCCCGCAAACCCTTTCACAAACCTACGATAGTAGGATGCCAGACTCAGGAAGCTCTTAACCTCTTTTTTTCCCCTTGGAATTGGCCACCCCCTCACAGCCTCCACTTTGTCTGGCATCGTGCTGATACCCTCACCACCCAGCTGATGACCCAGGAACGCCAACTCCCTTTGCATGAAATGGCACTTTTCCGGGTGTAATTTTAGCCCCGCCCCCGAGATCCTCTCCAGCACTCGCCTAAGTGCCCCCAGTGCCCCCTCAAACGACGTGCCGTGTACCAATATGTCGTCTAGGTACACGACACACTCGTCTCTCGGAACCCCCGCCAGCACTCTGTCCATGAGCCTCTCAAAGGTGGCAGGAGCATTACAAAGCCCGAAGCACAGCACCTTGAACTGCCAATGGCCCCTATCCGTGGAGAAGGCCGTTTTTTCACGTGCCCCAGGCGAGAGGGGCACCTGCCAGTAGCCACTGCGCAGATCAAGGGAAGAGAACCACGAAGACCCTCTGACGTGGTCTAGCGACTCATCGATCCTCGGTATGGGGTAAGAGTCTTTAGTGGTGACAGAATTTAGGCCCCTGTAGTCCGCACAAAACCTAAGTTTACCCCCTTTCTTAGGCACCATGACGACCGGCGCGGACCATGGGCTATCTGATGGCTCAATGAAATCAGCCCGCAACATGTCAGCAATAGCTGTGGCTGCTGCTTCCCTCTTGGCAAGGGGAATGCGACGGGGCCGAATTTTAATGGGTTGGTTGTCCCCAGTGTCGATGTCGTGCTGAACCAGGTGCGTTTGCCCTACCTCATCTTCCCCCCAAGCGAAGCTATCTTTAAAGTCAAACAGCAGCTGCTTTAACTGTCTCTGTTGTCTCTCGTCCAGACCTTAACAGTTTTTCAGCCACACAGCCTCAACGGCGTCGATAACTTCCTCCTTCCCCCCGTCGGGCTGATGGGGTGAAGGAGCCAGGTTGTTCTGGGCTACTGGGATGCCTGTGCTTGCACCATTATGGGGAGTGAAGGTCGTTGCCGCCGGAGACAGCTGCTGGGATGGCACAACGACAAAGGGAGCAGCCGGGACGACCAGTGGAGTTTCGGCAAGCTTGGAGGAAGACGGAGGGACAGCCCTGCCCCCTGCTGGCCCTCCCGAAGGCGACATTCCCACTGTGGGCCCCCCCGACAGCCTCAAAGTGCCCGAAGCTAAGTCCAACTGAGCCCCACAGTTTTTCAAAAAGTCCATTCCCAGTATACAGGGGTCCTGTACCGCTGCTACCCACACCGGACACCCCACAGTTCTCCCCCCCACAGTCACAGACAACCGACACTTCCCTAACATGGGGGCTAGCTCCCCCGTGACAGTCCGTAGCTGGACAAGGGTCGGCTCCACCCGCACCCCAACAGGTAGTATGTCTGGTCTCACCAGGGTTACTGTAGAGCCCGTGTCGACCAGGGCCAAACATTCCACCCCCTCTACCTTGACGATGACATTGCAGAAGTCCCCAATGGTGGTACGTCCCACCACAACTACCGGACTAGGAAACACGGTGGCAGCTACACCCTGGGGAAGCAGGTCCCCACCCTCTTGCCTGCGCTGCTGGGTACCTCTTCTGCTTACTGTGGGTTCGGGGGCGGAGGGGTGGGCCCGCGCTGCCCCCTGCGCGAGAACCCGCTGTCGTTTCCCTGTTGACTGGAGAATCTGCCACACTCCCGCTGAATGTGGCCAGGCTGGCCACAACCCCAGCAGACAATGGAAGTTGAGCTGACACTGCGATGTTGTCTGGAGCCCCTCTCAATGACAAGCGAAGCGGTCTTGACTAACCCGTCCAACTCGTCGACCCACTCTGGTTTGGTGACCCCCGGCACCCCGGCCGCCGCTGCTCTCACCTCTGGTTGACTGGCAACCTCCACTCTCACTCCCTCACCCCAGATCAGCTCCCTCTTCCTGGCTATCTCCACTGCAGCCCGCAGAGATGCTGGGTCCGACATCTGAACATGCTTACCCAGTTCGGTGGGGGAGAGCGCTCTAATAAAACTGTCCCGTGCCAGCTCGTCTTGCACCCCAATCGGCATGGTTGCATAAGCCCGCCTGGTCAGGCTCAGAATATCACTTGCCAACGCCTTTAATGATTCCCCCTGAAGTCTCTTTTTGTTATTCAGTTCAATCCGCAGCATGTTGGGCTGTGCATCGCTGCCGAAACGGCCCCCCAATGCCTCCACTAGCGCACCGTAGTCGCCCCTCTCGTCCGGGGCTAGCGTTAGCAGGCATTCCGACGCCTCCTCTGCCAGGCTCAGGGCAAGCTGTAACCCTTTCGTCTCGTCAGACCACCTCCCGGCTCTAGCCAACAACTCGAATTGAGTGAAAAAAACTTCCCATTTACCTTGTCCATTGAACTTTGGAAGTTTAGCCGCTACCGTGGCTAATGGCAATAGGGCGCTGCCATCTCTGTTTACATAAGGAGGCCCAGCCATTTCCGCACGCGGTGACGTCGATATCTCCGTCGCCGTGACGTCTGTTCTGGTCGAGCGGTTTGAAGGAAAACCCGCCCGTTCTGCCATCTTGCTGACTGACAATTTAACTTCCGCCATGTGGCTCTCCAGCTCTTCTACAGCCGTCATCGCCTGACCCTCCCGACCGGGTACACCCGAGCCCACAACGGACACTTTGTCCGACTCTTCCTTAACTTTCCGCCTCGCCCCAATCATCATGACCGTAGATGCGAGTCACGCTAAAGCTAACCACGGCCTATACTGAAACAGCTAACTCGCCTAATCTCGATCTATCCCGTCGTTCGAAAGCACTTCTGACACCAATGTAATGACCCAGCTGGGTCATAAAGTAAAAGAGAGACGGGCACCAGGTGTACAGGCAGAACACAGGTTTATTCCTGAATGGGCTATTGTTCAGGCCACAGCCCACGCCGCTAAACCTCGAACATACACAAATATAACATGTCAAATCAAGGGTCCCGAACAGAAGAGAGAGAGATGAGACCGTAACCCCTATTTAAGCATTCCAAAACTCCGCGGGATTACCCATCATACCCCCCCAACCTTTCCATCTGTCCTGGCATATTTAACCCCTGCTAGCACCCATGAGAACGATAACACACCCATGAACACAGAACACAATACAGGGTCGTTACAATACTTTGTATACCTCATTTACTCAAGTGTTTCCGTTATTTTGGAAGTTACCTGTATGTGCACATACATAGCATAAATCAAATTGTATTGGTCGCATACACATATTTGCAGATGTTATCGCAGGTGCAGCGAATTGCCTACTCCTACCTTGACTAATACACCATTTCAGTTCCTCTTTTACAATCCCAACATATTATCTCACTACTAGCCACTTTTCAAAGGATGGGGTAAAGGCATATTCCCAACGTCTCAGCACTTGAGCTTGCAGAAATTGGAAGGGGAGTGGGCGCCTGTCACGTGCCTTTATTTCACTTAAGGAAAATGAAGGGGTAGGGGCAGCGGAGGGGTACATTGAGGACATCCGATTTTTTGTCTGCATTGGTAGGCTATTTGTGGGGAGATCCTATTGGTCAGCTGTAGGGCTTATAAGTAGCAAATGTATTATTTTGTAGAATACCGTAAGAAACATTAGAGCTTCATAAAAATAGTATTCTCACAGAGCTAGACTAATTATGTTTTGGACTATTTTACTTAGCGGAAGCGTAGCGTTTTGGTTCAGTAGTGTTGTTTGGGTGCTATTGAACGAGAGCAGCCAGTGAATTCAGGGGATATCAACGCAAGCCGGCGAGACCCCTATCATTGCACATCATATTTTACTTTTGGGGGCGATTTGGGGACTTGTAATACAATACAACAGTCATTCCTCCTCGTGTCCCCTTCCCCTTTCCTTTTCTCCGGACATTTGAAACATAGAAAGCCTCAAGAATGGCTCAGATACTGCCGATACGATTTCAGGAACATCTGCAGGTAAGAAGACGCTAACAGCCGGGGAAAAAAAACATTACAAAGATGCATTTTCGCGCAGTTCTTCAGCTTTCCAGGCCCGCACATAGAAACACAACTACGCATTTAAATGGAATCTTACATGGGGCTGTAGCCTGCAGGGAGAATGCTCAATATAGCCACAGGCCTAGCTAGCTAGCTTGTGCAGGGCAGATGATGACTTGTAAAAATTGAACAGTCAGATCGTACTGGGAGGCTATAGTCTGCTTATTGCAGACCCGAAAACACAGCCAGTGATTTACGCCGCAGTCTGTTCAAGTGGAAAAACGTCGCTGTCACAACTCAGAGCCTACCGGTTAAAGCCCGAAACCGCAGTGTTTTGACACTTTGATGCAGTGATCTTGGCACTGAAGTGGCAACATTATTACTGAACCCTACATGACACATCAGATGTAACGAATGCGTGTAAAATGTATACAATGTTACTTCATAGAATGAGTTAGAGGAAAGTTAATCGGATCGTAAATCATAGCGCTGTCCACTCAACTAGAATCAAGATCTCGTGATAACGGTTTTGGTCATTGTTCTGAATCTGAATCGATTGGTTATTTAGGCTATGTTGCATGTGTTTAGTATGTGGCTAGATTATATGGTTATATATTTTTGTTGGAGAACCCCCTCATCTACTAACCCGACCGGTAAACCTCTCCATATGCGTAATGGATCACCTCAATGCGGTAATGTCAATTTTGGTTAAGGTTCCGATCTTGCCTTCGGTTTAATCATTCCCCCCTAGCTGCCCCGGCCAGGTTTCTTGGGACCAAAGTGCAAGTTTCTTGTGATGAGCTGGTTCGAGCCCTACTCTGGTCGTTCCCCCCTCATTCATACAAATGCATCAATTGAAAGGCAACACACCATTATTTTAGGTATTTAATTCAGATTTGATCAGCCATATCTATTAATTGATAGTGTATCCATTTAATCCTATCCCATGTATGCTGTGCTTGGTAGGCCTCTGTGATTCTAGGTAGCTCCAGCCGAGAGAAAAATGGCCAGAATAAACGGAGGACTTTGGGCCTCAAGTTGCTTAGCTTTTTTCGCCTGTCTTGGTATTTATGGCCTCTGCGCATTAAACAGTATAGTCTGGGTGGGTTTAGGTCTGAGTTTACATACACTGCCCTGTAGACACAGATGAGACTGGCTTTGTTGTTTTAACTCTATGTAGAACTACTACTATAATACACTATATATGCAAAAGTATGTGGAGACCCCTTCAAATTAGTGGATTCGGTTATTTCTGCCACACCCATTGCTGACAGGTGTATAAAATCGAGCACACAGCCATGCAATCTCCATAGACAAACATTGGCAGTAGAATGGCCTTACTGAAGAGCTCAGTGACTTTCAACGTGGCACTGTCACAAGATGGCACCGTTCCAACAAGTCAGTTCGTAAAATTTCTGCCCTGCTAGAGCTGCCCCGGTCAACTGTAAGTGCTGTTAGAACCGTCGGGAGCTTCATGAAAATAGGTTTCGATGGCCGAGCAGCCGCACACAAGCCTAAGATCACCATGCGCAATACCAAGCGTCGGTAGGAGTGGTGTAAAGCTCACCGCCATTAGACTCTGGAGTAGTAGAAACGCGTTCTCTGGAGTGATGAATCACGCTTCACCATCTGGCAGTCCGACGGACAAATCTGGGTTTGGTGGATTCCAGGAGAATGCTACCTACCCGAATTCGTAGTGCCAACTGTGAAGTTTGGTGGAGGAGGAATAATGGTCTGGGGCTGTTTTTCATGGTTCGGGCTAGGTCCCTTAGTTCCAGTGAAGGGAAATCTTAATGCTACAGCATAAAATGGCATTCTAGACGACTTTGTGGCAACAGTTTGGGGAAGGCCCTTTCCTGTTTCAGCATGACAATGCCCCCGTGCACGAAGCGAGGTCCATACAGAAATGGTTTGTCGAGATAGGTGTGGAAGAACTTGACTGGCCTGCACAGAGCCCTGACCTCAACCCCATCGAACACCTTTGGGATGAATTGGAACGCTGACTGCGAGCCAGGCCTAATCGCCCAACATCAGTGTCCGACCTCACTAATGCTCTTGTGGTTTAATGGATGCAAGTCCCCGCAGCAATGTTCCAACATCTAGTGGAAAGCCTTCCCAGAAGAGTGGAGGCTGTTATAGTAGCAAAGGGGGAACCAACTCCATATTAATGCTCATGATTTTGGAATGAGACGTTCGACAAGCAGGTGTCCACATACTTTTGGTCATGTAGTGTGTATGCCAATTTAGCAGACGCTTTTATCCAAAATGACTTAGTCATGCGTTCATACATTTTACGTATGGGTGGTTCTGGGAATCGAACCCACTACCCTGGCGTTACAAGCGCCATGCTCTACCAACTGAGCTACAAAGGACTGTGTAGAACTATTACGCTGCTGGACTTTTCACAATTGTATAAGGCTAGCCATAAACAGAGCACCCTCAATAAACATTGGCCTATACATACACACACACACACACACACACACACACACACACACACTGTTAATTAAGCATTGCCAGTGTCGCATTGTGTGGGCTTGTAATTAACACAAAGCTGTGTTTGGCGTAATTCTCCTTTTTCCCAGGCTTGACTGACTGACCCTAATCTAGGCCGTGTGTGTGAGGTAGAGGTCTTCTCGGGTCCAAAAAGTTGGACCCGAGGACAATCAGACCTGGATGGACCCGAGGACAATCTGATCCGGACCAGATCACTTAAAAGGGGGACTCGTACCCGAACAGACCCGAGAAACATCAGACCCGAACCCAAATGGACCCGACAACAATCAGACCTAGACCCGACCCGTACCCTAACTGGTCCAGATTTAGATCGGACCCAATTGGACCCAAGTGACAAAAAATTTGTTTATCAGCCAAGTTGCTCTTCAGGAAGTATTCACACCCCTTGACTTTTTCCACATTTTGCTGTGTTACAGACGGAATTTTTTATTGATAACATTTTGATTTTGTGCCACTGATCTATACACAATACCCCACAATGTCAAAGTGGAATTTTGTTTTTAGAAATGTTTACAAAAAAATTAATACATTCTAAGCTGAAATGTCTTGAGTCAAGTATTCAACCCCTTTCTTATGGCAAGCCTAAATACGTTCAGGAGTAAAAATGTGCATAACAAGTCACATAATACGTTGCATGAACTCACTCTGTGTGCAATAATAGGGGTTAACATGATTTTTGAATGATTACCCCATCTCTGTACCCCACACATACAATTATCTGTAAGGTCCTTCAGTCAAGTAGTGGATTTCAAGCACAGATTCAAGCACAAAGACCAGGGAGATTTTCCAATGCCTGGCAAAGAAGGGCATCTATTGGTAGATGGGTTAAAAAAAAGCAGCCACTGAATATTCCTTTGAGCATGGTGAACTTATTAATTTAGCTTTGGGTGGTGTATCAATACACCCAGTCACTACAAAGATACAGGCGTCCTTCCTAACTCGGTTGCCGGAGAGGAAGGAAACCGCTCAGGGATTTCATCATGAGGCCAATGGTGACCTTAAAACAGTTACAGAGTTTAATGGCTGTGATAGGAGAAAACTGAGGAGGATCAACATTGTAGTGTATATGCGAGATATGGGGGATTGGAAGTGATGCAGACAATTACATTGATGGAAGTTACAATCTACCTGCAATATTAAAGCTGATCTACCCCCAGAAAAAGAAAAATAATAATACATTGTAGTTACTTCACAATAATAACTTAAATGACAGAGTGAAAATAAGGAAGTCTAGGGGAGGGAATGGCCGGCAGGGATGTAGCTCAGTTGGTAGAGTATGGCGTTTGCAACGCCAGGGTTGTGGGTTCGATTCCCTCGGGGGGCCAGTATGAAAAAATTAAAATAATGTATGCACTCACTAACTGTAAGTCGCTCTGGATAAGAGTGTCTGCTAAATGACTGAAATGTAAATGTACAGAATGAAAATATTCCAAAACATGCATCCTGTTTGGAATAAGGCACTAAAGTAATACTGCAAAAAATGTGGCAAAGAAATTAACTTTTTGTCCTGAATTCAAAGTGTTATGTTTGGGGCAAATTCAACACAACACATCACTGAGTACCACTCTTCATATTTTCAAGCATGGTGGTGGCTGCATCATGTTATGGATATGCTCGTCATCGGCAAGGACTAGGTAGTTTTTGTAGGATAAAAATTAACTGAATAGAGCTAAGCACAGTCAAAATCCTAGAGGAAAACCTGGTTGTCTGCTTTCCAACAGACACTGGGAGACAAATTCACCTTTCAGCAAGACAATAACCTAAAACTCAAGGCCAAATATACACGAGTTGCTTACAAAGACGACATTGAATGTTCCTGAGTGGCCTAGTTAGTTTTGACGTAAATATATTTGAACATCTATGGCAAGACTTGAAAATGGCTGTCTAGCAATGATCAACAACCAACTCCACAGAGCTTGAAGAGTTTAAAAAAGAATGGGCAAATATTGTACAATCCAGGTGTGCAAAGCTCTTAGACTTACCCAAGAAGACTCACAGCTGTAATCGCTGCCAAAGGTTATTCTAATATTTTAAAAATATATATAATTTTTCTTCCACTTTGACATTACAGAGTATTTTGTGTAGATCGTAAAAAAAGAAGACAAATCCATTTTAATCCCAATTTGTAACACAGCAAAATGTGGAAAAAGTCAAGGGGTGTGAATACTTCCTGAAGGCACTGTAGGTCTTTATATGTTGGCTCGGCCTTCTATAAGTCAATACATTTGCCTTGTTAGCGTAAAATAAATATGCTATAGGCTAGGCAGAGCTGTGGTCGGATCCATTCGGGTTCATCAGCTGTAGTTACATAGACCCGAGACCCGATGACAATCAAACAGGACCCGACCTGGACCGAGGGAAAAGTTTGCATTTTGGACACGGACCCTCTCGGGTGTTTTGGTGGACCCGTGAATACCTCTAGTGTGAGGGAGAAAGAGTGTGTGTCTAAGTAAATTGATTATTGACCTATGCCCTTTGGTAGTTAGTTTACAGTGCAGTACAGTGTGTGCATTAGTCTATTAGCAGATTCATGATTATTCTGGGGCTCTGTCTGGGACAAATTATGTTCTGCATTATGTAGGGCGGGCATTGCTCAAAGCACCCACTCTCTGCTTTAGCTCAGTGGGCTAATGCAGTCATAAGTCTCACAGAAGACCCAAGTTTAATACCCTGTGATTTAGCCGCAGCCTGCTCTAGTAAGACGGAGATACAAGGGGTTTAGCCAATTATAAAAGGATTGGATATAGGGCACTTCGAGCAAATGCCAGATGGGCTGGTCCATCTTTATCCCAGTGTGCTTGTTTAATTATTTTAAAAATTCTGCAGAAATATTGATCATTATTTGGCTAATAATGGGGGCCTTGAGAAAAAATTGTCTGGTGTGTTAGAAATGCCTGGGCCGATTTCTGGTCCCAGTCCGTCCATGTTGCCTGTCCACCCTGCTTTGTGATATTACTCTACACAGAGGCTGGTACGGATAGCCCAGCATATCACTGGGGGCGAGGTCCCAGCCATTCAGTATATACAAACCAAGCGGTGTCTGTGGAAGGCCCGAAAAATAGCCAAAGACTCCAGCCACCCCTGCCATAGATTGTTCTCTCTGCTTCCGTCCGGCAGGCGGTACCAGAGTAACAGGTCTTGGACCAACAGGCTCTGAGACAGCTTCTACCCCAAGCAATGACACTTTTTAAACAGATAGACAATAGCTGCCCACCCCCACCAAAGACTATATGCACTGACTATGCACGCTTACTGGTCTCTACCCACACACTCACACACATAAACTCACATATACACACACACACTCACTACCACGCAGACACCCACCTACCACTTATGCTGCTGCTATATTGTTTATTATTATAATGATTATTAATCCTGATACCAGTCACTTTCTCCTAATCTCTGCCTAGATATGTACATACAGAGTGGGAAATTAACTTTTTGGTGCAGTGGAGTGGCTGGTAAAATTTGGCCATCCACCAGCCACTCCATTTCTTACCAGCCAACACTACACCCCACACTTTCACCACTGTAGCGTTGAGATTCTCTGTTCCAGACTGCCACACACACACATTTGTTATTTTACATGTGGGCTCTGGATTGGAGACAAATAATGCTCCCAAATGCTCTATGACCACCCGCTAATGTGGCTATTTTGTGTGTTTTTTTTGTTTGTTATACTATATTGAATACTGCATTGTTGGGAAGGGCTTGCAAGTTAAACATTTCACTGTACTTGTGCATGTGACAAATAAAACTTGAAACTACTAACAGATGAGCAGCTTCCTGCTCTTGGCGGTTGCTGTTCTCTAATAGACAGATGCGGTAAGCAGGCCCATTTAACCCAGCAAACCACATTAGGGCAGGAAGGGGAGGTGAGATGATCATGGTCATCAGGCCCAGCAGAGCACCTCTGGCAGCACAACTGTCGCCTGGAACTTCTCTGTCTGCACTGCGACTAATGGCTGGAGTACCATCAGTTAGTCATATTGCTGCATACTATCCCCCTGCACAACACCTTGGTAAGCCTAAGTAATGAACCTCTAAAAAGAATGCACACACCACAGTCTCTCAGCTGAAAAAATGCTCCTAACTGGAATGAGCTGTCCTAAAACTATAGTCTGTTATTGTTGGCCTATATATGACTATTATAGCAACAGTGGTGATACTGAAGATGGCTAACATGCCATTAAACTGACAGCTATAGTTTTACTGTCATACAGTAGTCAATCTTTAACTCAAGTGGTACAGCTGCTTACCATTTTACAGCAACAGGGTTGGAGTCCCTAAGGAGCTACTGGGGGGGGTTACATAAACACAATTAAAACCAGAGGAATGCAGCAAACACCTCGTAGCTGTGTTCCTAGTTAACACAATACACACAGGACTAGAGTACATGCACATGTAGGTAGGCCTGCTGCCTCAGAGAGGATATTTTCTTTTTATCTATTTGTTAATTTTCTTTTTAACTGCATTGTTGGGAAAGGGCTCGTAAATAAGCATTTCAAGGTAACACTTGTTGTATTCGGCACGTGACAAATACAATTAGATTTGGGCTAAACAAACACAACGATGGATTACACTCATAACCATGGTCAGCATCAAATGTGAAATTGTAACACAAATGTCAATGGAGGAGTGGTGTGTGTGAGACTGTGTGTGTTGGTTGGTTCTTCAATCCATGGAGGGACCTAAAGTCCCCACAAGGATAGTAAAACAAGGAAAATTCTGCCTATTTAGGACATTTCCCATGTCCCCATGAGGACAAAGGCTATTTTAAGCTTAGGGTTTAGGGTTACGGTTAGGGTAAGGGGTTTGGGTTACGGTTAGGGGGAAAATAGGATTTTGAATGGAAATACATTTTAGGATAGAAGAACAAAACGTGTGTGTGCAGGTGCAGGTGCAGGTGCAGGTGCAGGTGCAGGCACTGGGGCTGTGGAAACTGCGTGTGTCAATATGTGCACCACACACAGACTGGGTTCTGACGACACCGGGGGTGTTTCTCAATATGCATACTACCGTGCTCCGAGCACGCAAATTGGAGCATACAATGGTTGGAGTATGAGTCCAAATCAAAGTATGCGAAACGGAGCAGGGAGGGCACTTATTGGGCGCGTACTTCATTTTTGTACACCTTTTGAAGCATGCATCGATGCAAGCTTCAACTGAAAATAGTTACTGGATTGTTGACGTAATGTGACGCCTAGACGTAACCACGTAAAAACGATGGAAAATGTTATTGAAATCAATGGTGGCTGTTTTGCAGCTGAAGCGAGAGAAAATAAACTCAGACTTCCGAATAAAATGTTGCCCATTCACATCTCATATGTTGCCTGACTACAATAATGTAATCAATTCATAAATACAGACTGCGCTAATTTTGGCATGTTTACCTGCCTACAATACCCACTGTAGTGTGCGTAGATCGCATGACCATAGTAAGTCAATAGGGCTAACTGGCTATCTAGCTACCCATGAAGAATTGACAGCTTGTCATCTACCTTGCATAACATTAGTTTTAGGTCGTTTTTGCCCTTTAAACTAGCTGGCTAGCTAGATGATTACTATTCACATATAGCTAGCTGATAATTATTAAGTAAAACGTTTGCTTTGTGTATGTCTTGTTTAGTCTCTATTGCCATTATCCTGGCTGGAAGAAGGTTCAGTGAATGGGAGGTGCAGCGTGAAGTAACACAGTAGCGGGAGTGTGAGTGCTTCTCAAATGTAATGTTTTATGCGTTCTCCACACTCTCGTCCTCACAAGAAGGTACTAATGAGAACGCCCTCGGAGAATGCACTCTGAGCATAAGAGTGTGGAGCACGGTAGTACGCATATTGAGAAACACCCTGGGTTGTGGTTGCGAGTGATTTAGTCTGGAATGTTCTATAAAGGAGGAGGGGGGTGCTTCCGGTGACTCAGCCACCCCACCCTAACCCTTAAACAAGCACTGTATTCCAGGAATTCTCTCTCCAGACATGGTATGCACACCCCCCCCCCCCCTCCCCAATTCCCCTAGCTTACTCACCTTCGCTCCCATCTTACTCAATTTTATCCCTCTTCCTCATTCTGGGGTGTGTCCCAAATGGCACCCTATTCCCTCTAGTGCACTAGGGTTCCATTTGGAACGTTGCCCTACTCTCACTCCCATCCTGCACCTTTACTGCCTCCCCTCCTCAGCCCAGCTGGCAGCTACTCCCCTGGTCCCTCTTCCCTGTATCATTACCTCTTCCTTTACATCTCTATCCCCCCTCCTCCTGAGAGATCTGGCAGCCAGTGGAGATATCTCCTCTTTTGGTCTCTCCTCTCTGATGTTATCGTCTGATTTGGTGCTCCATCCTAACCCCTAACCCCCTCACAGAGCTAGCTGAGGCCCAGTGGAGACCTAGAGACACGAGTCAGTTTAGTGTTTTTCCCCCATCATGGTTAATGTTAGGATATGGGGAGGGCAAGGTGATCCTAGATCTGTGCCTAAGGTCAAGAACAACTTCTACCTGGAATTTAGCCAGTATCAGTGAATGCTAGTACTGAAAATGGATGAAAACCTTCAGGTGGTATGTTGTGGTTGTAACCAACCATGTTCAGTATTCACTGATATTGGCTATATCTTCAGATCAAGAGGCTTCTTCTCATTAGGACAATGATATGCTAAATGATGGAGCTAATTTACTACAGAGAATCAGGGTTTCCTATCTGGAGAACTGTCTCTCTACAAATTATGACCTGCTGGGAAAGGAGATCACATCTCACTCTAGATCAGATCTGTGTCCCAATTGGCAGCCTATTCCCTATATAGTGCACTACTTTTGAGCAGGGCCCTTGGGGCCTTAACACACTAATGAATAGGGTGCCATTTGGGAGGCACCCTAGAGATCAGGGCACATTCTCAGCCTACTCCGGGAAGCCCCCTGTGAACCCACTAGCAGAGGTCTGTGCTGAATCAGTCAGTGCTTATGGTTAAACTGTACATGTATTTTACAGGCTGTTCTTTACATGGTTTTACTTAGAAATAACATAACATGGTAATTACATAATTACATAGTTATTACTGTTCCGCGTCTGAGATTCTCTAAAACAAGCACCACTATGTACAGTTTTGTATTTCGTAGTGTTGGGTTATTTGAATTAAATAAGCAGCAGAAACTACTGCTGCATGTTATGGTATAATGCCTCAGTAAAAGCTAAACGAATAGCAGCTGTCATTGCAAATAAAGCTTTCCAGAGTCAGCCTAATATCCTGTTGTTGTCTATGTCTGCCTGCCGTATGCTATGCCCACACTGTTTCCATGGCCTGACTGTGCTGAATGCCACCACCACCTAACCTTCTTGGAAACAACATTTAAGAAGAAAATTGGACCAGAAGGGAGTTATTTTAATAGAGGTAGCAATTTTGGTACTAACTGTTTTCCCCACCTTAAAGCAAATGTCAGCAACTGGTGCCTTTGTTTTTTCCTATCCTTTTTTCATGGAGGTACGACTCCAGCAAATCTCACTGTTTTCCACAAGCACATGGAGTAGCCAGCCAAATAGAAAAGTAGCCAGGCAGGCTCCCCCGGGTTGGGGGGGTGTTAAGAATTTCTGTTTGCCTAAAAAGCTCTACTTTGGTGGCCTCTGGTACATTCTAATGCTAGATTGTATTTTCATCCAGCAACTATCAGGAAATAACACTGATCAAATGTTCACACTTTTCATCAGCTATTGTACAAAAGTTAATTTTGACTGCACTGGGCCTTTAAAGAATCCTGTAAGTCTGATGGCTTCCACAGGCTTCAAGCTTCCTTCTCAGCTATCCACAATACAGGTATGATTGAAGAACGAAGCAGGTGTTAAACATGGGCTTTGCTACACAGAAGGCAGCAGTCGACTACTTAATTGTCAACACTTTGATTAAATCAGTAGACCTATATCAATATCTTTGAAAATACCATAAACTGTAAGTATCATTAGCTTTTAAAACAAATCTGTTTTCTTTTATCATATTTTGTACCAGAGTGAGGCTATCTCTCCACTAGCCTACCTGTTGTTCCTGCAGGGAAGAGGGTTCACCATCTTCATCGAATGTTTTCATAATTTATCTGCAGATAGGCTAATCGCCAAAAAGCCTACCAGTATGAAAATGAGGTGGCCAAATGAACAGCTCTCCTTTCTGATGGAATTTGGTAGGCTACTGACTAGTCGCTCACTTTAACGCCACTGTCTGGCAAGTCCTGATGGACTTCATAAGAAAAATACAAATGACATATTTAGTGTACTTGTCCGGATCGATGCCATCAAATCAATTTTTTTCAAATCAAATCAAAATTGATATATAACTACGTTGTATGATTTATGAATGGCAAGGATATATGAGATCGACTTTATTCAGTCAGTTCGACACTTTTTATAAACTAGTCAAGCTTGCTGTTCGTCAATCACTGCACAGTAAATAGCCTATGCAACCCCTCTGTGGCTGCATATGAAACACGCCAGGGTCCAAAGCTATTATTTTTTTCCCCCACTGGCCAGATTGGGCCAGTTGACCAAAAATCTACTGTCCTGAACAGAATTTCTACTGGCCCGGACATGGTGTAGTTCTTAAGTGCATTGTGGTCATGTAGTGCCTAAAGGGTGGCATGCGTTCTCTCTATATTCAGCTATTAATATAACATATTAATAACATTTGGTTATTACATGTATTAAAAAGATGTGCAATATAATTTAGCATTGCAAGTCATTACTCGATTCTTTAGAATTGTATTAATTGCATTCATTTTTGTTTCTAAAGTATGTCATTTTGAGATTTGAAAATAGGACGCAGACCCTTTTTAAGACAAACGTTCCAAAAGCGGTATCGACATGGCTACAGTAGGCTAGCCAAGAGGAATGATAGGTGTCTTTTTTTGTAGATTTATTTTTGCAGACTATCAACAGGAGCCAGCACATTGCTAGTATGTTTACTTTTGTAAACCACTTGACCTTAAATAAATCAGCTCAGCGAGTAGATTGCTGGGCGCTTATTTTTGCTCAGGACAGCTTGCATGTGCTGTGTGAAGGCATCAACGCATGACGGCTATTGCTGGTGAAGTGATTTGCGGGGAGCTTGGTGGTGCTTGAATGAACGGCCAATCAATTGCTCAAATACAAATTACATGACATTTACGGGTGTAGTCATCAATGGTTTTCAATGGTAACTGACTGAGTGACTGAGAAGGCTGCCCTTTCCACATTGGGGTCATTAATTTGTAGCCCAAACTATTCGGATGCTACAGACAGAAGTTGGCAATAAAGCGTTACCGACTTCAGGCGAGTCCTGTGGGGCTTGTGGGGGTCGTAGAGCAAAACGGAGAACACCATCGTGAAGGCCAAACCATTAGGATGTTACAGACGTTTTCGTGAGAAGACCGATTTTCTGCATGTCTCATGGTCTGAGACACCACTGTAGCTCGGCCACCTTACACCGCAGATGCGGAAGGCCGTGAAACGGATTTTAATAGAGATGTTTGTATTGTTACTTAGATTGATGCACGGGTGCGTCAATAGACTTAAGGATTTAATGTCGGACCCTGCACGCGAAAGAAAATAAATAAATATGCCAGAAAACAATAGGCTAAGTGGATTTCGACTCATCATTACCGCATTATATTAGGCTCTATGGGACGTGCAAATTCATGCTTTCTCCCTCGGTTTAGAAATCCGACTGCAATCACAGCGCGCACAGCACACACACCCAGGTATCCAGAGGCGGGACAGACAGCAGTCTTTCAAACCAGCAGTGTCTCCCTGTTATCACTATTTTTGTGACTGGCAGGCGCCTGTCCTATCAATAGATTACTAGAAGATGCATATCGTTCATTCTAGCGGGAGAGGGCTTTGCAGACTATTTTTCTGACTAGCGAAATGAAAAGTAGCCTAGTTAATTTAAGCTGAAAAAGCCTCGACTCTGTAATTGGCTGTGTAGCCGTCAACCGGTGCTAGTGGAAAACACTGGTGTTCTCTGCAGTTGTACCCTAATCTCTTTACATTGCGCCACTGACTGCACTCCCAATTCCAAACCAAACTCTAGTCTGTATCCCCTACCCCTAAACACTGGTGAAGCCCTAAAGGAGTGGTTAGATATGAGCAATAATGGCACACATTTCAACTATCCCAAAAGAGTTCAAATTATACCCAATCCGTTGAGACGGCTGTGTGTGTTGCGGTGTGTTTCAGCTGCAGAACCTGGGGGTGAACCTGGCTAACATTGGTTTCAGCTACCTGACCATGGAGTCTGACAAGTTCATCTGCATCCGGGAGAAGGTGGGCGAGCAGAACCAGGTGGTGATCATAGACATGGCCGACCCCAATAATCCCAGCAGACGTCCCATCTCCGCTGACAGTGCTATCATGAACCCTGCCAGCAAGGTCATCGCCCTCAAAGGTAGGCTACCACCACGACCCCACAACCTTATGGTTGCCTTCCAAATGGCACTCAATTCCCTATGTAGCACACAATTTATGACCATGGCCCATAGGGCACTATGTAGGGAATAGGGTGCCATTTGGGGCACTATGTAGGGAATAGGGTGCCATTTGGGACTCACACTATGACCATATGACCCCGCTCCCTGACCTGGGCTCCTTATTCCACCGGTGTAATAACAACAACAAAAACGCTCTGTTACAATGCACTCACTAAGTAGTTAAACGCTCTGTTACAATGCACTCACTAAGTAGTTACTTGTTAATCCAATGCGGTTACTAGAGTAATTGCAGCATTACTACAGTACACAGGTATATGAGCAGCCTATTTCATCATGTTTGTTCTGAAAAAGTTCCCTAAAAACAATAGATGTGTCTGCTTTAGCGTGCATAGTATTCACACATATTTTAACATAGCTGTCAAAAGCAGTGTTGGGTGTATCTGTGTTATAATGCACTATTCCCTCCCATGCTATAAATACCAGGAGTCAGTGCACTCAGACATATTGCCTAAATGTACTAAATTGGTCATGTAAATTGATTTTCCGCCACTGCTTCTAGCAAGCGCTTTAGCCTTCATGTCTGTATCGGTTTGCCTTACTTCTGATGCTTTCTCTTCAGGCTTTGCACAACTCTCTCTACCTCTCTTCCCCCTCGTTTTTTCTTTGACTGACTCTTTGCTTTCTTCCCCTTGCTTTCTGTCATCTATCAGAGGGTGAGTCTTTCTTTCTTTCTTTCTCTCTTTCTCTCTCTCTCTCTCTCTCTCCATGAAGTCTGCCTATCTCTCCTTCTTCATCTCTCTCTTCCTCTTTTTCTCTGACTGACTCTTGGCTTTCTTTCCCTTGCATTCTGTCTTGTCACCTCTCAGACGGTGAGTTCCTGTCTGTCTGCCTGTCCATCCGTCCGTGGTGTCTTTGGTCATCATGTCTTTCTCATAAAAGCTTCACCACCTTCTTAACCCACTGAACTCATGTATTCTGGTCACTTCTGACAAGTAACCGGATCAATGAGACTGTTTTGTGGACAGACAGAGGAGCATTCGATTCTGTACATTTGAATCCACACATTGTAACTGTCCCACATGGTAACCCCCCACACCCCCTGACTGTGACCTCTCAAGATTTAGAACTTTTCAGTTTCAGTCAGAGTTCTCCCAAAACAGCCCCCTCCCCCACACGCACACCCTCACATACTTTTATGAGAACCATACACGTGTTAGCATGACCTGTTGTATGCTGGTAGACTGTGTCTGGTATGCACCATCAGATATCATACACACTGGGAGGTGTGTGTGTGTGTGTGTGTGTATGTATGTGTGTGTGTTAGGGCTGGGCAGTAAACCATAAAATAAATGATATAAGGGCATTCATTCACGGACTGGTTTGGATTTTTACTTTACCTTCTATAACTGTATTTTAATGTTTGAATTGTTACATTAAATAATTCAGTAATGACTCGAAAAAATTATGGCAATCATCTGTTTTTATCGCTGGTGAGAAACTGCTAACAGCTGAGAAGAGAACTGCTAGCTAACTTGCAAGCACGTCAATAACAAACGTCTGACTACCCCTAGTGGCGGAAGTAAGAACTGCAATTGAAGTCAGAGGAGAATGATTGTTCTGTCAAGGATGTTTTGTTGTTGATGGGAATAGCGGCACACTAAGACAATGGAAACGTGAAACAGTGTGTAAATGATAGCAAATGAGTACAGGAAATGAAGAAATTGATTATAATGCTGGAAGAGAATGCTGGAATTGAACAAATAACTATGCAAATGGGAACCGTGGGCCATGTACCAGAGTTAGAGGCAACAAAAGAGGTCTATGCACTACCCATAAAGCATATTTAGAACTTTCATTACTCAAAAATGAGAAAAATACGGTGATATAATATTTTGCCCATATTGCCCAGCCCTAGTGTGTGTGTAAGAGGTTTTCGTCTCCAGCCCTAGTGTGTGTGTAAGAGGTTTTCATCTCCAGCACTAGATCTCACTCTACAGTGTACCAGGTATGTCGTACCTCTTCACCTACATGTTATAGTCTCTGTGAAACCAGTTCCGTTCCTTGCTCACTGTCTAAACCTGAAACTACAGTAATAGTTTCATCTTCAAATGCTGTCCCTTAGGCTTAGTTCCATTTAAACTGGTTGTGATATGGGAGGTTAGTAAAGTATGGAGTTTGATTTCCACACTGATTCCTCTCCGCATGCCAGAGACTAGAACAGTTCAGTAGTAGGCATCAACACTGATTCTAGTAGCCTTTTCTCACTTTTTCTTCTAAATAGTCTAAATAGCTATGCCTCTGTTAAGAATACTTGGCCCTGTGTGGCAAATTTGTATGTCTTTATTTATTGATTTACCTTTTATTTCACGACCTAGGAGATTGAGAACACATTCTCTTTTAAAGCAACAACCTGGGGAAGAGTTGCAAATCGGTCATTGAGCGTGTTATCTAGCTATCTCCATCCTCTTTATCCCCACTGCCTTCACTCTCTCACTGGACAGGGAAATAGAACACTTTTGACCCATCATAGAAATCCAGTTTGGCCAGTTTGCTGTGAACTTAAAGGGATAGTTTACACAAACTACAGATTTGTGCAAAGTACAAATCTCATGAATACCTAGAAAGAAGTCCATGATCCTGGATAGGCAGCTAGCAACCCAAAGATAGAGTTCACTAGCTACAGTTTAGTATTAGCTTCATTCAGGTTCAGGGCAAAACAATGTGATGTGTCTCACTGTTTCCCCCCTCTCCCCTCCCTCTGCTCTCAGCTGCTAAGTGCCTGCAGATCTTCAACATTGAGATGAAGAGTAAGATGAAGGCCCACACCATGACCGAGGAAGTCATGTTCTGGAAGTGGATCTCTGTCAACACTGTCGCCTTGGTGACTGAAGTGGCTGTCTACCATTGGAGCATGGAGGGGGACTCGCAGCCAATCAAAGTGTTTGATCGTCACGCTAGTCTGGCCGGATGCCAGATCATAAACTACAGAGCAGACGAACAGCAGAAGTGGCTCCTCCTTATAGGGATCTCAGCACAGGTACACACACACTCTCCTTATGATCAGCCTTCCATTGTCTCACATACACACCCATACTTCACAGCGTGTGAACACATCAGACATACGGTATAAGTTTTGTATTCTAAAAGCATCGTACTTCGGTCCTTTTCTAGCATGTTCAGATAGTGATGACATCCCCTCTTCTCTGTCCTGCAGCAAAACCGTGTGGTGGGGGCCATGCAGCTGTACTCTGTGGACAGGAAGGTGTCCCAGCCCATCGAGGGCCACGCTGCAGCCTTCGGAGAGTTTAAGGTGGAGGGCAACACCAAAGCCTCCACTCTCTTCTGCTTCGCTGTGCGCAGCCAGGCTGGGGGCAAGGTGAGAACCGGACACTGGGGGGGGGTATACAGGCATGGTGAACATTCATTCCATAACAAACCAGGACACCCTCTGTAAGCATTGTTTGTGACTGTAGAAACTGGAGGAAGCTTGTGGTTGACTCTTCTGAAGTCGAATGATGATGATGATTACTATATGGTCATAATGCAAAATGCATACGGTCAGTATGTGTGATTAGTATGTGGTCACTATGTTGACATGTGTGGTCATGTTGTGTTCCAGCTGCACATCATAGAGGTGGGACAGCCGGCTACAGGGAACCAGCCATTTACTAAGAAGGCGGTTGACGTGTTCTTCCCTCCTGAGGCTCAGACAGACTTCCCTGTCGCCATGCAGGTAAGGACCCCTAAAGACCCACCAGGGAAGGACCCACTCAGGGTGCTTCTCTCAATGCCTGAATGAATGAATGAGTGAATGCAGCATATCAGTAGAGCCAGACTGAATCTGCTGGGAGGTTTTCTTTATTAATATTTAACCAGTACAACTGAAGCTGTTTGTTTTCTGTTCTCTTGGCAACACTTACTTACCAGTAACCTGCACACACATCTCTATGTTCAGGATTCTTTAACTATTAATAATAATAAATAATAATATAATAATAATATGCCATTTAGCAGACGCTTTTATCCAAAGCAACTTACAGTCATGCATGCATACATTTTTGTGTATGGGTGGTCCCGGGGATCGAACCCACTACCCTGGCGTTACAAGCGCCGTGCTCTACCAGCTGAGCTACAGAAGACCACAGAGGACCACTATTAAAACATTTAACTGCCATTCAATAATTTTGATAAGACATTGGTGTTGTACACTGCTATGAAAAGGCCTAGGTGTCTTTGGCCCATACAGAGGGTATAATCTCTGTATCCCCTGTTTCTCTGTCCTCAGATTGGCACCAAGCATGGTGTGATCTACTTGATCACTAAGTATGGCTACATCCACCTGTATGACCTGGAGTCAGGAGTGTGTATCTACATGAACCGCATCAGCGCAGAGACCATCTTCGTCACCGCCCCCCACGAACTCACCTCCGGCATCATCGGGGTTAACAAGAAGGGACAGGTAAGAATGTCAGACCCATTAGAATTACAATATGGATGTATACAACAGGATCTCTGGTTATTTTGTTATGGGTGGATACCAGGGAAAGCATGTACAAATATACACATTATCCAGCTAAATATTTATATTTTGTTTTGTAATGAGTTTTTGTGTCATGTTCTTTCTTACGTTTATTGAAAATCATTTAAAAAAAATTGTTATTAATCCATGATTGATTGATTTGATTCATACATTTTCTGCATCCCCCCTCAGGTGTTGTCAGTGTGTGTGGAGGAGGAGAACATAGTGAACTATGCCACCAATGTGCTACAGAACCCAGACCTGGGCCTGAGGATGGCCGTGCGTTCTAACCTGGCCGGGGCTGAGGAGCTGTTTGCCAGGAAGTTCAACACACTGTTCGCCCAGGGCTCCTACTCCGAGGCTGCCAAGGTGGCCGCATCCTCACCCAAGGTAGGTCAGACCCCAGGACTAGGGGAGATGATCTGTTGGGTTGGTTTGCGCTGAAGGATGGTTGCAAAATTAGGGTAACTTTCCTAAAATTTCCCAAAATCCTGGTGTGAAGATTCCTAGAATCAGGAGGGAATAAGCAGTAAATACGGAAACCCCCAACCAGCATTTCTGGTAAATCTGAGAATTTGGGGAAAGTTACTGGAATTTTGTAACCCTAGGAGGGGAAAATACAGCCTTTTAATGGATGCTCCTTAGCTTTGTTATACACTTAGCAACAATAACATTGAACTATCTTATCGTCTTCCTCTCCTCCAGGGTATCCTGCGGACAGCGGAGACCATCCGTAAGTTCCAGAGTGTGACAGCCCAGCCGGGCCAGGCTTCTCCCCTGCTGCAGTACTTTGGCATCCTGCTGGACCAGGGCCAGCTCAACAAGTTTGAATCTCTGGAGCTGTGCAGGCCCGTGCTACAGCAGGGACGCAAGCAGCTGCTGGAGAAGTGGCTGAAAGAGGACAAGGTAGGACTGACCGGGGATGGAGCAGTGCACTGGGCAGCCTTGTTACAGTGCTCACACACAAGTCAAGACTAAGACTGTATGTAAACAGGAGTCCCTTACCAGGGTCCATAGAGACTTTCAATCGATTCCCTTTGTGCTTGTATATTTAGCCTGAAATTGCAGTATAGCTACAGTTTATTTGCCTAATGTGTGTGTGTGTGTGTAGCTGGAGTGTTCTGAGGAGCTTGGTGACCTGGTTAAGGCAGTAGATCCTACTCTAGCCCTCAGTGTCTACCTCCGGGCCAACGTACCCAGCAAGGTGATCCAGTGCTTTGCTGAGACCGGACAGTTTCAGAAGATAGTGCTCTACGCCAAGAAGGTACACTTCACTCTGAGAATGGATGGACCTCTCTTTGGATGTGTTGCAAATGGCACCCTATTTCCTATATAGTGCACTACTTTTGACCAGGGTCCATAGGGCTAGTAATGCACTATGAAGGGAATAGGGTGCTATTTGGGACACACAACTCTCATAGTATCTAATAGCATTCTGTCATGATTGAATAAGACAACACTGTTTTAGTAGAACATTTGATTGATCTGAAGTACCTATTTTAAAAATGTCAGCTTGCCCATTTGTCTTGTCTTGTTGTTATGTGGACTCTCTCTCTCTCTCTCTCTCTCTTTCTCCCTCTTTCCTCTCCTAGGTGGGCTACTCTCCAGACTGGGTGTTTCTGTTGAGGAATGTGATGCGGGTCAGTCCAGACCAGGGTCTACAGTTCTCTCAAATGCTGGTCGCAGATGAGGAGCCCCTGGCCAACATCAACCAGGTAACACACGCACATAGCACTGATACACCTACATGCACTGGCCCACATGCACGCACGCCTGCATGAACACACACACTGCCCAGTGTGGGGCCTCCCAGTCTGTTATTCCTCCTTTTAAGGGCATATCAACTTTCCCCTCCTCCTCTGTCTTAACTGGCTCTGGCTAAAAGTTGTCCACAAGCATAGACCTATGGGCCCTGGCCAAAAGTAATGCACTATATAGGGAATATGGTGCCAATTTGGGATATACTCCTAGAATCAGCAGTTTAGAGGCAACTTCATCCAATCTAATCCAGCAATGCACTTCCTTATTCAGCAGGATAATGTCCCTGTGACTCTTGATTACCTCTTTCTCTACTGTTATTGGCTGCTAATGTCCCCCCTCTCTCTTGTGATTGGTGTAGATAGTGGATGTGTTCATGGAGGGAAGTCTGATTCAGCAGTGTACCTCCTTCCTATTGGACGCTCTGAAGAACAACCAGCCAGCCGAGGGACACCTACAGACACGCCTACTGGAGATGAACCTCATCCATGCCCCCCAGGTACACACACACACCTTTCATAATGTCTGTTGTGTTTCTATTGGTGCAGTATGTGTTGTAACTGGTTCTGTGTGTATCCAGGTTGCCGATGCAATCCTTGGCAACCAGATGTTTAGTCACTATGACCGTGCCCACATCGCCCAGCTGTGTGAGAAGGCTGGACTACTACAGAGGGCTCTAGAACACTACACTGACCTGTTCGACATCAAACGGGCTGTCGTACACACTCACCTGCTCAACCCTGAGGTACGTAGGTGTATGTGGGGTGGGTTCAAATGTAACCTCTCTTGTTCTCTCCTCTCACTCTTGTGTGTGTGTGTTAACCCTCTCCTCTCTCCCTGTAGTGGCTGGTGAACTTCTTTGGCGCCCTGTCAGTAGAGGACTCAGTAGAGTGTCTTCGGGCCATGTTGTCAGCCAACATCAGACAGAACCTTCAGCTGTGTGTCCAGGTGGCATCTAAATACCACGAGCAGCTGGGAACAAACGCCCTGGTGGAGCTCTTTGAGTCCTTCAAGAGCTACGAGGGTACGTCTGGGTCTTGCTTCTCTTATGTTTTAAAACGTGTCAGCTTGTGGTCCAGCTGTTAGAGCCGCAGACCCAGGCACACATGCACAGCCTAGGATACTAGAGCCGAGGCTACCATATGTTTTCACAGGGAAACTGTGTTCTTCCTCTCCCAGGTCTGTTCTACTTCCTGGGCTCCATAGTGAACTTCAGCCAGGACCCTGACGTCCATTTTAAATACATCCAGGCGGCCTGTAAGACAGGGCAGATCAAGGAAGTGGAGCGCATATGTAGAGAGAGCAACTGTTACGACCCGGACAGGGTCAAGAACTTCCTCAAGGTACGAGGGCTACCCTAGCAGTGTTGGTTGGGTGAACGTTTATTTGTAAGTCGCTCTGGATAAGAGTGTCTGCTAAATTACTCAGATGTAAAAAAAATTATAATAATAAAATAAGTACAAATGTTTAGCACAGTCGTTAGTCTGGAAGACTACAAACCAGGTTCACTAGCATTCAGTTACATGTAAGATCGGAAATTACATGTACCAGACTGAATTCTCATCTTTCACAGTTGTTTTATGGGATTTCAGCTTCCTTTTACAAATGCAAGAAAATGCTAATGAAATGTAACTATTGATGTTCTGTGTTGCCTCTCTCTCTCTCCCATCAGGAGGCTAAATTGACAGACCAGCTGCCTTTGATCATTGTGTGTGACCGCTTTGACTTTGTCCATGACCTGGTGCTCTATCTCTACCGCAACACTCTGCAGAAGTACATAGAGATCTACGTTCAGAAGGTAAAAGCCATCAGCCTGGCAGTAGGCACAGTGAGGAACACAGCACTGCAGGGAAGGAAGATGAGAAATGTCAAGATACCTTTTTGTTGGTTTTACCAATAGCACTATCCCATAATTAATTTTGCTGTAATTACCATTGCCTGACATTGTCATTGCCTCGCATTGACGTTTGTGTAGGTGAACCCCAGCCGTCTGCCTGTGGTGATAGGAGGTCTGTTGGATGTAGACTGTGCTGAAGACATCATTAAGAACCTGATCATGGTGGTGAGAGGACAGTTCTCCACTGATGAGCTGGTGGCAGAGGTGGAGAAGAGGAACAGGTACAGACACATCACTTACGCATGTGGTCTCCAACATTGTCGGCTCCTATACTTCAAATGGGGAGAACACTTTGTCAGAACTTTCAGGCCTGTTCTTTCCCCCTGGTGAGGCAATGCCTCAATGATCCCAGACAAAATGTTTCAAGAGGGTTTCTCAAAAGGAGATTTTGTGTGTGTTCCAGATTGAAACTGTTGTTGCCATGGCTTGAGTCTCGTATCCACGAGGGCTGTGAGGAGCCAGCTACCCATAATGCCTTGGCTAAGATCTACATTGACAGTAACAACACCCCGGAGCGCTTCTTGAAGGAGAACACCTTCTACGACAGCGCTGTAGTGGGGAGGTATTGTGAGAAGAGAGATCCCCACCTCGCCTGTGTCGCCTATGAGAGGGGCCAGTGTGACATGGACCTTATCAAGGTCTGAACACACACCACACACACACACACACCACACACACCCAAGGGAGATGACTATGATGCACTGATTGATTTGGTTTCATTGTGCTCTGTTGTAGGTGTGCAATGAGAACTCCCTGTTCAAGAGTGAGGCTCGCTACCTGGTCCGACGGAAAGACCCAGAACTATGGGCCAACGTTCTAGAGGAGAACAACCCTTATAGACGCCAACTCATAGACCAGGTAAGTAGAATACCCTCTGATAACACTATGTTGGTATCTCTGATCTGTATGTCCCTGTGTTCTGATCTGTGTCTCCCTGTGTTCTGATCTGTGTCTCCCTGTGTTCTGATCTGTATCTCCCTGTATTTGCCTGTGTTATGACCTGTGTTTCATTGTGTTTCCCAGGTGGTGCAGACAGCTCTGTCAGAGACCCAGGACCCAGAGGAGGTGTCTGTGACGGTCAAGGCCTTTATGACAGCTGACCTGCCCAATGAGCTCATCGAACTACTGGAGAAGATCGTACTGGACAACTCAATCTTCAGCGAGCATCGGTCAGTCACCATGCACGCACACACAAACACTTTTCAAACAATTTACTTGGCCTCACAGTTAAGCGTTGAGGTTGAAAAGACTCAAATATTTCAAATGTTCTACGAATACCTGTAGTGGAAGTCTTATCTAGCCTCTGTGTATCTTCTCTGTTTCTCCCCCAGAAACCTCCAGAACCTGCTGATCCTGACGGCCATCAAGGCAGACCGGACGCGTGTGATGGAGTACATCAACCGCCTGGACAACTACGACGCCCCAGACATTGCTAACATCGCCATCAGTAACGAGCTCTTCGAGGAGGCCTTCGCCATCTTCAAGAAGTTTGACGTCAACACCTCCGCCATTCAGGTTAACAAGATTCTGAATATAATACAAATATTTAGCTAATCATTGTACCCTCTTTATTTCAAAGCACCAATAATACTTTTCTTTACTTTACTTTTCTTTCTGCACCTTACAAATATTTTATCATTGGACCTCTTTATTTACTTTTCTTTGTGCTACTTACTCATTCACACAGCATTTTCATACTGACCAACTGTCTCTCTAGGTCCTGATCGAGCATATCAGTAACCTGGACAGAGCCTATGAGTTTGCAGAGCATTGCAATGAGGCTGCAGTATGGAGTCAGCTGGCCAGAGCCCAGCTCCAGAGAGACCTTGTTAAAGAGGCCATTGACTCCTACATCAAAGCTGATGACCCGTCAGCCTACATGGAGGTGGTCAGCGCTGCCAGCAAGAACAGTAAGACAACCCATCACCATAACTAACCTGCACTGTGTGAGAGACAGGAACATGGAAAAGCAAGGAAACTGAGGCATTAGTCGGGATAAATCCAAAAGGGCAGTAGTGGGGATAAGTCCAAAAAGAGTTCACTTGAAGCCTCCTATGCACTGTATGTGTGCATAATGTATATAATTTATGATGTGTGTGTGTGTATAATGTGTGTATTGTAGATAACTGGGAGGACCTGGTGAAGTTCCTTCAGTTGGCTCATAAGAAGGCCAGAGAGTCGTATGTAGAGACAGAGCTCATCTTTGCTCTGGCTAAAACTGGTAGACTGGCCGAATTAGAGGAATTTGTCAGCGGCCCTAACAACGCCCATATACAACAGGTAAATGTGTCAAATACATACAAAATGCACATTTATCAACATGTAACGTTTTGTTCACTGAGACCTTTGGTTTCAACTTTGAACTCTCACTCTCCATTGATTCCTCCCTTTCCATCTCACCCTCTCTTTCTCCTCCTGCAGGTGGGAGATAGGTGTTATGAAGAAGGGATGTACGATGCTGCCAAGCTGCTGTATAATAACGTGTCCAACTTTGCCCGCCTGGCATCCACGCTGGTACACCTAGGAGAGTACCAAGCTGCTGTGGACAGCGCCAGGAAAGCCAACAGCACACGCACCTGGAAGGAGGTACATCTAAACATTCTTACACACACATGTTATGCTGTACGTGTAAGTGATAGATGGAATCTCCATTTGTTGGGTTGTGTTTATCATGATTTAGCTCGATCTCTCTCTCCCAAGGTGTGTTGTGCGTGTGTGGATGGGGAAGAGTTTCGATTGGCTCAGATCTGTGGTCTACACATTGTCATCCACGCTGATGAACTGGAGGAGCTCATCAGTTACTATCAGGTGACTACCCTGTACCGTTTACCTGCTGATGCCCTCAATAGTTTACTATCAAGTAAATACCCTGTATCAGTCACCTGCTGATGCCCTCTATAGTTTACTATCAGGTAAAGGGAATGTTTTCAGATAGTTTTGGTACAGTGTCTGTGTTTGTGGTTAACTCATGTTTGTGTCTATGTGTATCAGGACCGGGGCTACTATGAGGAGCTGATAGCCCTGTTGGAGGCCGCGTTGGGTTTGGAGCGCGCTCACATGGGCATGTTCACAGAGCTGGCCATCCTCTACTCCAAATTTAAACCCCAGAAGATGAGAGAACACCTTGAACTCTTCTGGTCCCGCGTTAACATCCCTAAGGTGTGTCTCTCTCTAAATAAAACTATTGTAAATATTTATATTTTCCCATATCTGTCATGTCTATGTGACCTCACTTGCTGTGGTTGTCCAATCAGGTGCTGCGAGCGGCAGAGCAGTCCCACCTGTGGGCGGAGTTAGTGTTTCTGTATGATAAATACGAGGAATATGACAACGCTGTCCTCACGATGATGTCACATCCTACTGAGGCATGGAAGGAGGTGCAGTTCCAGGACATCATTGCCAAGGTAACATGACCTTGTCAGTCCTCACTCACAAAATAGTTGAAAACCTCACTGAAGGGCTAAAGGTATTCTAACTACAACTGTAGCCAAGCTCTATCTCATTTTCTAATTCTTTCACCTCTCTCCACAAGGAACTTCATTGTGTTGTATGACTCTTTCTAGGTGGCCAATGTGGAGCTGTACTACAAATCCCTTTCCTTTTACCTGGACTACAAACCTCTGCTGACGAACAGCCTTCTGACCATACTGTCACCACGGTTAGACCACAGCCGCACGGTCACCTACTTCACCAAGGTAATCAATCAAAACCCGGAATTGACTGAAAAACATGATCACACAATACAACACTGCAGATTTAGCAGCAACACAAGACCAAATAATATGACGTGTGTGTCTCCAGGTGAACCAGTTGAAGTTGGTAAAGCCTTACCTGAGGTCAGTCCAGAGTCATAACAACAAGGGAGTCAACGAGGCCCTCAATAACCTACTGACAGAGGAGGAGGATTACCAGGTGAGGGAGTGTGTGTGTGTTATGGTTACGCCCTTATGTTGTCCTATGGCATTATATTTTGTGGTCTCCAGTAAGCATTACTTGCGTGTCTGTGTTGTCCATAGGGTCTGAGGGCGTCTATCGATGCATATGATAACTTTGACACCATTGGTCTGGCCCAGAGACTGGAGAAGCATGAACTGATTGAGTTCAGACGCATCGCAGCATACCTCTACAAAGGTACCAACCGCTGGAGACAGAGCGTGGAACTCTGCAAGAAGGACAAATTATACAAGGTAAACATTTTTGGGGGAATACTAGTTGTTCCTGCCAAACCAGCACCTGGATCCAGACGCACTGCTGTGCACAGGGTTTTTTACTTCTTGTTTTGCACTGTAAATATTTTGTGGGACCCTGTCACACTTCACTCTACTTTGACTAGAGCCTGATGGGGGCACTGTTTCGCTTTGGAGGAGGGAAATTGTGAATATTTAGTCAACTGCAACCTGTTGAAATAAGTGTCTTCCTTCAGTTTTCTCCTCCGTAGCTTTTCAGCTTTGGAATGATATGTAACCACTGGTGCAACATCTGTGAGAATCAAAATGTTCCCATGTTTCATCAATCATTCAATCCATCCATCCATCCATCCATCCATCCATCTCTTCCCCTGTCAGTCTGTCTCAAGATGGGATGCTGTATGCTGCAGAGACACGACTGCGGTCTCAAATCAATCAATCTTTTAATCAATCAATCAACCCCCCTCTTACTGTGTGTGTTTGTCAGGATGCAATGCTGTACGCTGCTGAGTCTAACGATGCTGAGCTGGCTGAGACCCTGCTGCAGTGGTTTTTGGAGGAGGGAAGGAAGGAGTGTTTCGCTGCCTGTCTGTTTGCCTCCTACGACCTGTTGCACCCTGATGTGGTGCTGGAGCTGGCCTGGAGACACAACATCATGGACTTTGCCATGCCATACTTCATCCAAGTCATGAGGGAGTACCTCACCAAGGTCAGTCCTGCTCCAAACACAGCAAGCGCATCGTGTGTCCCAAATGGCACCCTATTCTCTATATAATGCACTTCTTCTGACCAGAGCCCTGTTGGCCCTGGTCAAAAGTAGTGCACTATATAGAGAATAGGGTGCCATTTGGGACGTACACCAAATGTTAATTTCAGTGGGTGAAAATGTAGTAAGCTAAATAATGGATTTCTTCCTGCTAACTTAACAGGTACATTTTTGCAGATATCTTTCTCTTCCTTTAAGAAACAGACAGTTGTCCTTGACCTTCTCTCTGTAGGTATTGTAAAAGCAGACAGGGTTTAGAGATTAATAAATACTTTTGGCAATACAAATGAAAATAGTGGAAAGTTTACTTAAATATGGCGATAACGCTGCTAGAGAAAGCTTATTTTGTATTTCTTGACTTTGTGTTTGTAATTAAGTTAAAACATGAGACACTCTTTAAGTCGGGAAGACTAGCATTCCTCTAGAACAATATCTAGTAATGACACCACTTCCTATAACCTTTGACCCCAATATATGTGTGGTCACCTCTGTGGGTTCTCTTCCAGGTTGATGAGGTTGCGGAGAAGGTGACGGTCTCTGGCTCTCTTTATTTATCTCCTTTTTGTTCTGTCTGTTTTCTGTTCTAACATAGACCCTAGGTTTCTGATGTAGGAACCTAGAATGGACTTGTATGTAGACTGAGAATCCTTAACTGAGGGCTGGCCAGTCCTGGTCCTTTAGAGTGTCACAGGGGGTGTAGGGTTCTGTTCCAGTCCAACACCAACCTACCTGATTAAGCCTTTTTGTCTTTCTAGATTGAAGACTGAATCAGATGTGTAAGAGCAGGGCAACAAAAGCCATGCTCACACTCAACCCCCTAGAACCAGGGCTGGCCACCCTTAGCCTACTGGGACCCCCCCCCCTGGTCTCTCCTCTAACTGATAATCCCAGACTGTTTGCTCCTGGTTAACAGTAACACATGATAAAGGTCCTGGTTAACAGTAACACATGATAAAGGTCCTGGTTAACAGTAACACATGATAGAAGATGGAACAGTACGATAGAACAGCAACACATGAAAGAAGGTGCTGCACTATAATCCTCCACATTAGTAGTCAGCTAGCCTGAGTGACAATCTGTTTGTTCTACCATGCCAACGCCTTGTCACTTATTTGGCCTGACTAATGACCGCAATGGAGTTGGCAAGAGCACAAACAGATCTGGGACCAGGCTAGTAGTTAGCAGCTCCAGGACTGCAGTGTCTGCTGGATTCCTATGTCTGCCTTTAAACTGATCAGTGATTTGCCAGAGAGCATGCTGTACTCCCCTAGTTAGATGAGCAGCAGGTGAAGAGCACCAGACACTTGGCCCTCCCTGGAGGACTTGAGTCGAAGCCCCGTGCTGCACACACAGTTCTGTCGGAGTATTCTCATATAGCTTTAACAGCTATGTACAGTAACACCGTAGTGCACAATACCACATGTTGAGAAGCATCCCCTAAGTATACAGCCACTAGCTAGCTGTACAGCCACTAGAGAACCTAGTGCCCTACTTTTGACCAGAGCCATAAAAGTAGTGCACTGTATAGGGAAAAGGGTACCATTTGGGATACACACCATTAATTAGCTTTCTATACATGTTAATGATGTTATTTATCAGAGGAGGCACATACTCCCTTGTAGTATTATTTTCTGCTGCTGAAATTCTTACCATTCACACTGCCAGTTTATTTTGTAGTTATGACATTCTAATTCTTCAGTTCGTTTTAGTTAATTGTCTGTACAGACAAGTCACATCTTCACATGGAGCTATTATTACTCAAAACAGAGATTCTAAATGGCAAAAATAGACAATTTGGAATAACTTATTTAATTATTTAATTATATGACTTTATTACAATACATGAATTACGTTAAACCATTTCTGTTTGCCTCTTGAATACATCAGAAACCTTGCTTGATTTGCTTTATTTAGCCTTTATTAGACACTGTACTGCTCACACTTCTGAAGCATTGTCTGCGAAGATGGCTGCACGTTTACTTGAGCAATTAGCAGTTCACTTTACCACTTACAGTTTCAAAAAGATGCATGCTCTTAACCAAGCAAAATACTTTTGATAAACCGCTCTTGATGAGTTGATGAAATATTGCATTTTGTTAGGCAAGGAGTGCCCTGTAGCTGAAGCATGTTAAGTTGTGATTTAGGTTTGTCTGTTTTGCTCCTGGACTGGGATGTATTTGCATTTTCTAGGCTTGAATAAATGTGTCAGCATCTTGGCATGGGCCAAGCTTCTCCACCACAGAGAATACACAATTAACTTTCACAAGCCCTCCTGTATACAGTGCTTCTAGAGTAGTTTAAAGATGCTCCCTCACCTGTAAGGAAAACTGTAGTTTCTCACCAATCCCGCATGGCATCTTCTCTAAGATGTAGAAATAGATACTAGATAGATACTAGTCTATAAAGTCTGATATTGAAAGGTGAAGTACAATATTATGCATATTGTTGTCTTCATGACAAAAGTTAACCTCACCAATAAAATATTATCTGAATTGATCTCTGTAGAACATTCAGAGATATTTTTTTTTTTTTTGAAAACGCCAGTTTTTTATTGTAGTGAGCCCATCCATTAGGCGACTGACTGGCTTTTCTCTCTGACCTCTGTCTTACCCTCTGTTCTCAGGTGGACAAACTGGAGGAGTCAGAAAGCCAAAGGAAGATAGAGGAAGAAGTTACAGAACCCACTCCCATAGTTTTCGGTAGGTTCGGTAATGCAGTTTATATGATACATTCCAAATCCCAAACACACTCCTGTCCCTCTGCCCTGGTTCCTTCTAGCCTATTAAAAGGCTTGGTTAAGCTTTCATATCCATGAGGGGAATCAGTTGGCATAGGGAGGGGAATGAGTATGGGAATTTGAGTGCAACGCAAAAAGCCAGCTGTTTATTATTGATGAAATGGTAACAATTCTGTATGTTTAACCGTGTGTGTGTGTGTGTGTGTGTGTACATACAGGTCAGCAGCTGATGTTGACGGCAGGCTCTGCTCCAGTGGCTCCCCAGCCAGGATACCCAGGAGGCTACGGATACGCTGCCCCAGGCTACTCCCCCCAGCCCCCCTACAGCTACAACATGTAGACCACCTCTACCCCACCCAGCCCCCCTACGGCTACAACATGTAGACCACCTCTACCCCACCCAGCCCCTCTACGGCTACAACATGTAGACCACCTCTACTCCACCCAGCCCCCTAGGGCTACAACATGTAGACCACCTCTACCCCACCCAGCCCCCTACAGCTACAACATGTAGACCACCTCTACCCCACCCAGCCCCCCTACGGCTACAACATGTAGACCACCTCTACCCCACCCAGCCCCCTAGGGCTACAACATGTAGACCACCTCTACCCCACCCAGCCCCCTAGGGCTACAACATGTAGACCACCTCTACCCCACCCAGCCCCCTAGGGCTACAACATGTAGACCACCTCTACCCCACCCAGCCCCCCTACGGCTACAACATGTAGACCACCTCTACCCCACCCAGCCCCCTACAGCTACAACATGTAGACCACCTCTACCCCACCCAGCCCCCTAGGGCTACAACATGTAGACCACCTCTACCCCACCCAGCCCCCTAGGGCTACAACATGTAGACCACCTCTACCCCACCCAGCCCCCTAGGGCTACAACATGTAGACCACCTCTACCCCACCCAGCCCCCCCACGGCTACAACATGTAGACCACCTCTACCCCACCCAGCCCGCCTACGGCTACAACATGTAGACCACCTCTACCCCACCCAGCCCTCTAGGGCTACAACATGTAGACCACCTCTACCCCACCCAGCCCTCTAGGGCTACAACATGTAGACCACCTCTACCCCACCCAGCCCCCCTACGGCTACAACATGTAGACCACCTCTACCCCACCCAGCCCTCTAGGGCTACAACATGTAGACCACCTCTACCCCACCCAGCCCGCCTACGGCTACAACATGTAGACCACCTCTACCCCACCCAGCCCTCTAGGGCTACAACATGTAGACCACCTCTACCCCACCCAGCCCGCCTACGGCTACAACATGTAGACCACCTCTACCCCACCCAGCCCTCTAGGGCTACAACATGTAGACCACCTCTACCCCACCCAGCCCCCCTAGGGCTACAACATGTAGACCACCTCTACCCCACCCAGCCCTCTAGGGCTACAACATGTAGACCACCTCTACCCCACCCAGCCCCCTAGGGCTACAACATGTAGACCACCTCTACCCCACCCAGCCCCCCTACGGCTACAACATGTAGACCACCTCTACCCCACCCAGCCCCCTAGGGCTAAACTAAGTCTTCGTTCCTAATGGTACCCTATTCCCTGTATAGTCAACTACTTTTGACCAGGGCCCATATGGCTCTGGCCTAAAGTAGTGCAGTATATATAGGCCATAGGGTGTCGTTTGGGACGCAGATCATGTAGACCTTAAGGTCCCGGTAATTCTACCTGGAGCTCCTAACACACCTCCCTCGGCCAACCTCAGGCCCCAACCTGAACCACACTTACCCTGCACTGGGATACACATACACATAGAGCTTGATTATGGATTCTATATGTATTCCCAGCCTTGAAACCCCTGATACACCTAATCTCACTACTCTGAGACACACCTAGCCCACCTATGGACACTCCTAACCCCCACACCCAAATCTCTCAACCAAAAAGACCTCCACTTTGCTCCCACCTCCTCTCGCTCCCACCTCCTCTTGATCCCCCATCCCTCTCCAATGGACTAGGGTTCTTCAATTCTGGTCCTGGAGGACCGAAACACCTCTGTTTTTCATCCTCTCCTTCTAATCAGGGGCTAATTCAGACCTGGGACACCAGGTGAGTGCAATTAACTACTAGGTAGAAATAAAAAACAGAAGTGTTTCGGCCCTCCAGGACCGGAATTGAAGAACCCTGGACTAGAGCAAGGCTAACTGACCCCGCTACTTAGGCTGACCTGACCAGCCCACCCGCCATTCACCACCGCACAGCATGACGACAGCGCTTAGCTCCTAGAGAAAATAACTAATAAGACGTAGCTAACGTACAGTACACCTCTCTGTCCAGGTATTCTATTCATGTTCTATAGACTTTATCAACCATAGAACAGCTCTTTTTTTTTTTTTTTTATCATTATTTTTTCTAGAGATTATAATATAGCACTGATGGTACAGAGACTTTGTTACTGAGGAGCTAGAGAGGGGGCGGGTGAAGGGGGCGCAGCACCGAGTGCCCCCACCCTCTCCTAAGCACTGCTAGGCCTTATACAGGAGGAGGTTTCACATTTGAGTCATTGTTCACGTTTGTTTCAAGACTGTTTCTGTGCAATAGAGATCTAAACAGGTACCATGTGTTGGAGATGCAACTCTATACAGTACTATACTGGGGTTATGGTGTACTGACTGTGTGTAGTTTATCAAGCATGTAGGGATCTGTTGACAACACCAAGACTGGGAAGGTTTGCTATGTTCCTCCTCTCTCCTAGAGTCGTATTATCTGATAATAACCAAGTCAAGATGGACGTTGGCTCTCTCCACTTTATACTGTGATGTATGGTACAGGATCCCACAGCTCTGGTTGATGATGATGATGTGAAACATAACTGCGATATGCTGATGTCTGTGCATGTGCTGCCAAACATATAATGCGCTAACAATGCAATCAGGAGCACAATTTCCATGTTACACATATACCAAGTATTACCTATGTTGTGTTCAAAACTAAACAAATGTATTTTGAAGACTTTACTGTCTCACCACTGACAACAACTAACAGAATGGTGAAGAAACTCCAATGTTACACAGAGAATAAAAACATACTAGAGGAATATAACTCGTATGTATCCCTGTACCAGTGATTCAGAGTTATAAATTCATGTACTGAAAAAACTGTGTATAATTTAAGATATGTTGCGATACTTAAATAATCAAATAAGTCCAACATTATGGAATAACATAGTGTATTGTCTATAGTGTATTGTTGTAGTCTTAAGCATTATTATGATACTTTTTTAAAGAAAATGACAAAATACAAAAAGAGCAGAATGCAAACATAAACTATTCAGCATGATTGCTTGCTGCAGCCATCATCCTGGGGTTTGTTTTCTTCCTGTTCAAGTAGAACCTGTCTGAAAAATGTTCTGGAAAACTATCGCCAGGGTTTATGGGTAAATCTGGCCTCATGCATCCGGACAGACAGACGGCCCTGTCCACTGTTGTCCATTGGATCCTGAGCTATACCACGACATTGTAAAAACGTTGGATTGGGGTTTTGTAGGGAAACTAAATCTAAGCTGTGTACAAACACTACCCTATCTGCACAAGTCATGCTCTCTGAAGGGTAATAAAGTTTACACACACATTATCTGTCTGTCATCATTTAGAAGGAACTTGGATGTCTATTTGGTAATATGTGTTTGCATTGTCATTCTATCAACCCTGGGTTTTACAAAGAACCTTTGGTCATAAGGCTGATAAAACACTGTCTGACAGTCACAATGGTTAATCTCAGCTAATGACACTGTTCTGACTGTTCATTAAATGTTATGTCATTTTTATATTATGTGTCCCTTTATGATGAAGGGTTTAAGTCAAGTGTTTGAATGGAGTAAGTTGACAATGCAATCTGACTTACTCAGTTCACAGGTCATTCCCAAACTTCCTTGATCTGGTTTGGTGTTGTTTTTTTCTCCACTTCCTTCTAAGATGTTCTTGCTTCTTTTAGTTTTGACAATGCAATCAATACTATACAATCTATATCTCCACTGGGCACAGACGTCAGTTCAGCATCTACACTGAACAAAAATATAAACGCAACATGTAAAGTGTTGGTCCCATGTTTCATGAGGTAAATTAAATTAATCGTAGAAATGTTCCATACTCACAAAAAGCTTATTTCTCTAAAATGTTGTGCACACATTTGTTTACATCCCTATTAGTGAGTATTTCTCCTTTGACAAGATAATCCATCCACCTGACAGGTGTGGCATATCAAGGAGCTGATTAAACAGCATGATCATTACAAAGGTGCACCTTGTGCTGGGGACAATAAAAGGCCACTTTAAAATTACATTTACATTACAAGTTTTGAGGGAGTGTGCAATTGGCATGCTGCCTGCAGGAATGTCCACCAGAGCTGTTGCCAGATAATTACTCTACCATAAGCTGCCTCCAACGTCGTTTTAGAGAATTTGGCAGTACGTCCAACCGGCCTCACAACCGCAAACCACGTGTAACCACGCCAGCCCAGGACCTCCACATCCGGCTTCTTCACCTGTGGGATCGTCTGAGGTGGGGTGGGAGGGGTGCTGAGGAGTATTTCTGTCTGTAATAAAGCCCTTTTGTGGGGAAAAACTCATTCTGATTGGCAGGGCCTGGCTCCACAGTGCAACCCTGCCCAGTCATGTGAAATCCATAGATTAGGGCCTAATGAATTTCTTTCAATTGACTGGTTTCCTTTTATGAACTGTAACTCAGTAAAATCTTTTGAAATTTTTGCATGTTGCGTTTATATTTTTGTTCAGAGTAGTTTTGATTTATATTTGAGTTGTCAACTAACATGAATTCAACAAAACATATTCACCATTTCATTCGATTTAGGTTCAAAGTTGGGTGAAAAAAATATGAAATGCCCTTAGGTTGATGACTTTCTGCAAATCCGCGTTGATTCAACGTCATCACATTGTTTTGGGGGGTTGAAATGACGTGGAAACAACACTGATTCGACCAGTGGGCCGGGTGCCAGACTTTCTGCACTATCCAACTTGCCTTGGCGAAATTCTCTGGCAGCCTAGCTACTCCTATGACATGACAACCATAGTCAGGGGAGTTGGTGAAAGCACATACAGTGGGGTCCAAAATTATTTGCACCCTTGATAAAGATGAGCAATAATTACTGTATAAAATAAATAATTGTATGCTCAACAAAAATGTTAATTATATTATTTTATACTAATACAATTGCTCAGAGAAAAATTTAGTTTAACAAGTAATACTTTTTTTTCTCAAAAAGGGAGGGGTCAGAATTGTTGACACCCCTAAAGATTCTTATAAATAAAGTATTCAAAAGTTTAGTATTTGTTCCCATATTCCTAG